CATGGTGGTTCTTGCAAACCTAGAAAAAGATCCAAAGAGATAGTGTGCAGGAAATGATTAGTAAGTTCTTGTATTACTCTGCCTTTTTTTTTTTTTTTTCCAATTAGTTGGTTACATTATGCTTTACTGGCTGGGTGTTGCTAAACCAAAGCATGAGACTACCAGTCCTTATAGTGGCCTGTAAAGCTTTTGAATCTTTGGTTTTTCCTTTAAAGCTCTTTTGAAATCATAACAGTCTCAGGTGTGGATTTAGTGTATGTTTTGTTATTATTTTAAAAGTAACTGTTGTTACTAGTGCAAATTTAGAAAATTATGAGAAATAATTCTCTTCATGGGTTAAGTGTGGAAGCAAAAAAGTTGCATAAAATCAGACCACATCCCAATTAATCATCTTTTAAAAAATAATTTATTCAAAAGGTTGGTCTCATGGGGTTTTTATTTTAATATTGACATAATTAGATTCCTCTTAAAAGAAAGTTTTCTGTTGGGAGTAAAGGCAAAAAACCACTGGAATCTGCCCTTATTGCTTCCATCCCTTGAATACAGTACATCCTGCTTGTCAAAGAAGTATTTTAAGTTCAGGTGCAATTTTTCATTTACCACTGTGAGTTGCCAATGAGTAAGCAATTCATAATAGCCCAGAAGTATGTAGACTGAGGAGTTTGTGATATTAAGCAGCATAGAAAGGAAGGAGGAATAAGAAAATAAATTTTTAGTGACAAGACTAATATGTAGAAATAAATATTAAAGGAGTTTTGTTTCCTTAATTAAATGCCTAAGGTATGATTTGTTTCGAGGCTGCTTATAAACTGGTTCCCAAACTGTTTAATTACTATTCATCTCACCTGTCTCAAAAATATTAATCATCAAATAGTAAAATATTAGCTTGTAGTAGGAGGGTGATGTCAGAAGCTGAAACTCAAGTTCATTACAAATGCTATCTTTCATCATGCCCTTTTAAAGTGCATGTTAAATAACATAAGTATAATTTTTTTAAGATCCTGGTCAATATTAAGAAATTGGTGAATATAGGTGTAAATTATTCTTGCCTGTGTGAGACATACACAATACTTCCTCAGTGCCTAATAATGCAGTGTTTGCTCTATGGCATTTCATTTAGGAGTTCATCCCTGTGTAAATGCTGCTGTGAATCAATGAAAAGAAATTTACAATTCAGCAAAACTGTCTGCTTTGATGTATCACCATGTAGCAAATGAATCTGTGGAATCTGGAGGAGTAGGTATTTGTGGTGGCTTTTTAGTGCCTCCTTCAGAATTCAGTTCTGTAGGAGGTCTGGTTCCCTTGCTGCAGGAGAAAGGAGGAGGTCTGGACCTTCAATGTGATAGGCTCGGGTTTGTTATGAGAGGTGAGTGTCTTGCCTTGGTGGATGGAATTGTTAACAACTGCTAGGAGCAGCACAAATGTAAGAATCTGAGAGACCAACAGCCTTGTTAAGGAGCTGAAAGCACAGAGCTGTCTTTGCCTGAGGTTCTGGAGAAGGACTGAGACAGGCTTTTTCTCTGTGGCGTGTTTGCATACACATTATTACAAGCAGACTCCAGGAATATGAAGAGCTCTGAACTAATCAATTTAACTAGATCTCAACAAGAGAAGGATTCAGTGGTTTTCATGCTGTTTCAAAAATGAAGCTGTGCTGATTTGGAGACCTGAAACCAGCAACAGTCTACCTGAAAAGAATTGATTTGATGTTGAAGAGGACTTCTGCTCATGCTGTTTGCTGCTTTTGCCATGTGGATGAAAAGGAGAAAACTGCGAGTGAAGTTACAGGTTCAAGGCTCTGTTTCCTCAGCTGTTTAATTTTTCTTTCCTAAGTATAGTGTAGCTCTTGAAGTGAAAGGGTATTGGTATTCAGTGAGGTGAACATTAAAAAATTTCTCATAGGGTGTTTATATTTAAATGGTTAATTATCACTGTTTCCCATGTTCTTGTGCTTTGCCATTTATAGAAAGATTTTAGACATTAGACTTTCTAAATGGAACATTTTACAGTAGTTAATATCTTCTTCAAGGAGATGCTAATATCTGCATTAATCTTATAATTAATCTTCTATATTTTACATGATACAAAATAATACAGTACTTCTGCTAGGCATTATGAGAGAGACTTCCAAATATGCCTGTTTAGAACAGTAAAAATTCTGACCTCTTGGATTAAACTGGGTTGGGGTTTTTTTGTGTTAGATTCTGCTGCTTTAACAAACCAGTTTCTTACTGTCATTGTGCTTTCCAGGTTACATTATCCATTTAGAAAATATTTAATTTTCATGTGATGAAATGGCTTTTTTACTTTGAAATGCTCACAATCCCTATACAAATATCACTTTTTGAGTCTGGATATATTTTTAACAAGATCACTTAGTGGAATAAAATTCTTAGACAGTGTTATACTCAAAATTTCTACTGGAGATACAATGGGCTATCAATGTTTTTAACTTCAACTGGAAATTAAAGCAGAAAGAAAGGAAGCATTGGGAAAACCGTGCATTGTCTGATGCATGTTGCATATTTCTGAAAAAGCACATATGTGTATTGAGAAAATACTACTAATTCACACATACTCTCCTTTTAACTTTTAAAATCAGTGATCCAGGGAAGCCATGATGCCATTCTGAGCCCCTTGTAAGAATTGCCTGCAGAGCCCAGCAGAAGCAGATGCAGAAGTTTGTTTTTCTTGCAGTTGGTCATGCCAACTGAAGTCTGCACAGCCTGAAGGTGTTTGGGAGCAGCATCTGGTTTTCTGTTTTGTTTTCTTTTGTCAAGCACATTTTGGTTTGTGAATGGCACTTGGAGAAGCTTCCTTACTTTCTTAGCCAATTAGTGCCTTTCAGTCAGTAATTAATTATAAAATGTCTCTCTCGGTGGCCACAAGTGAGTACAAGTTACTTGCCCTGAAAGAATATTGGGAAGGACTCTTCTCTGCATAAGTCATGCTAATAAAAAACGTACACACTAGTAAGTTCTACTTCTTCCTTGTGTTGAAATAGAAAATTATTATCTTGAGTGGACTTCACCTCTCTTAATTACTGCTCTACTCTAAAAATTTTTCATTAGTGTTGACTAATAAGAGGAATTTCAGTTGTTATTTCCATAAGCATTATAATTTCACTTGGTAACTTGCTCTGTGGAAGATGTTCAAACAGGGACAATAACCTTATCTAAACATTTTATCTGACATGTCAATGTCATGTGTCCAAGATGGAGCAGCTTTAAAAGTTAGTGAACCAAATCTGGCTCATTTCTATGATTGGTGTTTGTCTTACTTGAAGAGTTATATGCAGCAACATGAAATATTAATTCAGGTAGCAAAAAATAATTCAGTTACTTTAAAACAATTAGTATTTTAATTTCCTAAATTAAGCTTAAAGAAACTTCTGTATTGTGCATTGGTTGGAGAATTGATACTTATGTAGGAGTTTGATGTAGCAATATGAAAAAAGCCATTCAAAATGCCTGAGATAATGTGGTCTCAAAAAGAAGTTTCTGAGAGTGAAGTGCAAGTACTGCAGGCTACACATGCTGGGTATCAGTAAGATGGGCCCAGAAAAGCAGAGCAGATAAATCAGTTTTCCTATGGGGTCAGGTGTGATCAGATCCATACTCTGATGTGTGATCTATTTTGGGCACTGGGGGGTGGTTTTGGTTTGGGGTTTTTTTCTGTATGTAAAATGTTCAAACCTCATTCCATTTTATAAGCAATTGAAACAGTATTAGTTATCAATAAATCCAAAATATTTAATTATCTTTTGTTTTTCAGCAGTGTTGACTGTATTGTGGGTAGCAAGTGATGTAGTGTTTGTTTGGTTTACTAATAGTGTAATCATGTAATTTGGTGAAAAAATTACAGTGTTTACTGAATTATTAGAATAGTCCAGCTTTTAATTGATCCAATAAATTAACTGCATTATTTGTAAATACTTTGAAACAGATGTTGGGCTATTCTGAACTTTGCAGCATAATTTTTCAAAGACTGATATTTTCTTTCTGTGGAAATTCTGAAGTTGTGGTTAAGCCCTGCAATTCTAAGGTTATGAATTTTGGTTTTCTGAATAGCAAATGTCAGCTTCTGGAATTTTTCTTGAAACATTTCACTCTCTTTCTTGAGGTTGCATACAAAAAGTGTGGTTGAAGTAATTTGGTCTATAAATGTAAATCACATTTGTTGACAGTATTATGAATATATTGAAACAATGCATTAATGTTTTAAAACATACAAAATTTGGTCACACACATGGTATGAATTTTAAAGAATTTTCATCATTTGTGTCTCTATCCTAAGTTTTTAGCATCTGTTAGTTTTGAAATGCAATAGGAGTGAGCCTTGTTAATACTTTGCATTTCATTCAAAGTAATAGTGACTTCCTTATCTGAAGGGAATCAACTTTACTTTTCTTCACTTGTACAGACTGTTTTTCACAGATCCTTACCCTGAATGAGCCAAATATATCAGAATTTTCACCATCTTTGAATGTGATCTTAGTGACCCTTTATCTAAGAGTTCTCAAGTGGTCTTGTCCTGTGCCAGGTCAATAATGTGAACCAGCAGTTAAGCTGCCAAGGCAGTTATGCTGAAAATATTAGGAAAGGAAAGCAGCTTCAGATTCTCCTACTGCCTAAAATACTGCTTGTACGTGTGTTATCATGTGTGCCTTACCAGGACTGTGTGCCAGTGCTACCAAACATCTGAACAGAGAGGAGTTAAATGTAGGATAAGGGCTCTTTTTTTCTCTTGTTGTTTTGTCTCTTAGTGTTCTCATCTCCTTCCACTTTCCCACTTTTTGCTTTTTCTGCCCTTCTGCATGATCTGTGTCCCTCCTTTCTGCTCCGATGATCCTCACTCTTTCACAGGTGCCCATCATTCCTCTTTCTCTGAGGACTTGGGAGGAGCTTTTAACCTTCCTCTGATGAGTGAGAGTTTAGGTTTTCAGCTCAGAATGCCCTGATACACATCGGCACATTCATGGAACATTTTCTGTCCTGCAGGTTGGGAATCCACGTGTGGAGCTCACTCTTTCTGAACTGCAGGATATGGCTGCCCGACAACAGCAACAGATTGAAAATCAACAGCAAATGTTGGTTGCTAAGGTAATAATTATATACAGACCATTTCTTTTCAATATATGCAAGCATTAGTTTCTGGATAGAAAAAATCACACTAAATCATTTCAGTTAAGCTCTAAGCTCAAGAAATTGCTTAAGAAATGCATCATTTTACCAGAATAATCTTAGCCTAGGCAGTGCAGTCTTTTGTCATAGATACTGCTAGAACAACCTATGTAATGTGTCTTTACAAAAATATTGCTAGGGTATGTTGACCTCTTCTCTGTGTGTGGCCCCCTTCATGATCTGTGGCAGAACAGGCTTGACTCCAAGCTCATCTTTAGTAGATCATTCAGTAGAGTAATAGTGGGGTGGGGTGAGCATATGCCAAATTCATAAAAATTTATGTATTGCATTTCCATGTCTCAGAGACAGAAGAATCTAAAAATGTTTGTAGAGTGGGGAGGGGGTTTAATGGTTTGGACATTGTTGTTTGAAGTATTATACAGCATGCCTTTGATGCTTGGAATACCTAAGAGTCAACCTACTGATTCTGTTGTTCTTTCTTGATGGAAATTATACTAAAAAAATATTTTTCCTTGTGCACCCAGCAGAAGAATTATTATTTAAAAGTGGAATATTTTCTTACAGCAGGTCAATTTCCTTAAAATGGTCTGTTGGGCATACTTTGTCATCTTTGGGAAGCTGGGTAACTGCACTGGAAATTTATTTTGCCAACAGCAAGAAAACTGTTAGTAGTGGCAGAAAACAAATGCCAGAGGAAGCATCACAGATGTATTCAAATGAGTGCTCAGACTAGGGCTGTATTCGCATGTCTATGTAAATATGTTATTTTTTGTCTAAAAAAAATCTTGAATCTCTGCTCTGAAACAGATTTATTAATTTATTTTAAAGAGGTTTTCTAGGGATGGTACATATTTCAATGAAATACAACATTTTCTGATTTGTGGAAGTAGAAAACCTGATCAAAATTATAGAGTTTTCTAAGCTAATGTGTTAGGGGGTTTTTTTAATAAATGGCTAACAGATTTGTCTTGTTTAAAACCTCCTTTTGTCAGGAGCAGCGTTTGCGTTACCTGAAGCAGCAAGAACGTCGGCAGCAGCAATCTGTTTCTGAGAGTGAAAAGCTCCAAAAACTTAAAGAACGTGTTGAAACCCAAGAGACAAAGCTGAAAAAAATCCGTGCCATGAGAGGACAAGTGGACTACAGCAAGATGATGAATGGCAATTTGTGTATGTGGAATTCTTAATTTATTTACTCTTCACTGCATGACTAACAAAATGCTATATTTTAAGTCACTATATCATTGGTGCAGGTTTTCAGCTACATTTTTTTGTTTTATGGAGATTCTGTGTTTCCACGTCATTTGTATAGAACAGAACTTTTTGTTAGCTCTGTATAGTCAAACATAATGTCAGAATAAGTCTATTCTTTAACCATTAGAAATCTTATGACTGTTAGCAAATTCGCTATACAAATATTTTATATGTATTTTAGATGTAGAGCTAGTATGGTGTGTTTATTACTACATGTAGAGTTTAAAAATTAACAACTTCTGCTTTATTTAATTGGTTTTTTGTTATTTTTATCTTGTTAATTTTAGCAACTGAAATTGAGCATATAAGTGCCATGTTCCAGGAAAAGCAGCAGGAACTGCAGGCTGCAGTGTTAAAAGTGGATCAACTCACTCAGCAACTGGAGGATTTAAGGAAAGGGAAACTGAATGGGTTTCAGTCTTACAATGGACAAATGACAGGGCCTGCAGCAGTAGAATTAAAAAAGTTGTATCAAGAGCTACAGGTAAGTAACAAAAGCATGCTATTTGAATTACAACTGTAGATTTTAAAAGTTTTGTTACTGCTCTTATGAGTGACAATTTGGTTCTGTTGCACCTTATAAAAGTAGTGTTGGAATGCTGTTAATGTGTGAGGTTGTAGTTGGCATATAGCCTTTTTTCAGAAAAAAAACTTCATTAGCATCAAAAACTATTTTATTTCTTAAACATGTAATGATACAAAGTGTGCAAGTGTTTTGAAGGGAGTTTCTCAGGCCCTAATACTGAAAGTCTACATAAGTTATTATTTGTTTTAATCTCTCTCAAATAATTTTTGTGAAACAAATTTTGGTACTTTTCTATTTTGCACTGATCTGGGTATAGCAAGCTCACGTGTCATCTTAACTTGGAGAAATGACTGTAAATTTAAAAGTGTACTGTAAAAATATATTGTCTGTATTGTCTGGTGTAAATAAACAAAATACATAGGAATTAAATAGCACATTTTAATAGAGTAATTAAAAATGCAAGCTGCACTATATTCCCTGCACTAGATAGGGCAATATAGTTTTAGTATATTCACACAATATTCCCTGCATCAATATTGTATATGTCCTGCAAGAAGCTTGTTATATCTAGAGTGTAGCTCTCATGCAAGTAGTTAAGTATCTAGTTTACATTGAAATTTTATTAGATTGTGTGCTAATGTATCAGGATTTTGAGGGCTTTTTTATTTACTCATGTGATTTATTGTGATCAAGGTAACAGCTCTAATATATTACATATTTTTAAATTAATTTAAATTTCAAAATTAGTCTCATTTATTTAGTTGAGCAAATACAGCAGAACTTAATCAATTCTGTTTTCATGCATTAGGAATAAGTCTTCTTTTTTCTCTTTTTACTCCTTCCTCCTTTGTACAAGGCATATCTGCCTTTGAGTAATTCTAAGTGCAAAGATGCTCAATAGATGAAGATTTCTCTCCTGTGCTTTGCAGTGATCCCATATGTGTTTATCAAGACTTAAATTTGCCTCAGGTGTTTTTTGCTTGTAACATTACCATGAAAATAAGAACACTGAGACAATGTCTGAGTTATTGAAGGTGTGAAAAAATGCCAACAGCAAAGCAAGAGAAGTAATTATAGAGAGTGTCATGGTTGATTTAAACCATAAAAGTAATCCACCTCATAATGCACTGGAAAACTGCTGTGAAGGTTTCGGTTTAATCCCCATGCAGAGAGGAAAATCTGTGCAGAGCCCCTGCACTAGCAGTTCAGCTAACACCCCTTCCAGACATCACAAAGTCTCATGTGGGTCTGGAAACAGAATCAATAGCATAATTTCTGTTACAAGTTTTGTATCACTTACTTTTCGCGATAGACAAACTGTCTTGGGTAAGCATGACTTTAAACAAACATTTTCTGTGATTTAGTTCTTCACAGTGAAATTTTCTGAAATGTCTTTCTGCCTAATTCCTCAATCCATTTTCTATAAATGGGATGCAGTCTCTATGTATTTAATAGGCATCCACTAGCTTTTTTAGGAGATTTTCTCAGTTTTTTCTTCTAAGAGTAGCTCATGGTTGCAAATGCTAACTTGACAGGATGTGTAGAACCGTAGAGACACCAGAACAAGTTGTTGATCCAGATTCCTTTGGGGTTTTTTAACACTGCATTGCAAACCATCTTGCTGAGAACTGTTCTAACAAGTGGGGTTTTATTTGTTTTATTTTTTTGTTTGTTTTTGAAGATCCGTAACAGGCTCAACCAGGAGCAGAACTCCAAGCTCCAGCAGCAGAAAGAGCTCCTGAACAAACGCAATATGGAGGTGGCCATGATGGACAAGAGAATCAACGAGCTGCGCGAACGACTGTACAAGAAAAAAGTTGAGGCACGTCAAAAAGAAAACATTCCTGTAAGATAAACTGTTAAAAGGGCCACACTTCAGTTTATCAAGGGCCTATAAAAACTGCATAGAGTCTCCCTTTTTCCCACTCTAGTACAGTTACCTATGATAAAAGTAGCAGGTCTCTTAAAACTATTCTAAGGTTTCTCATAGGTATCAAAAAACTGTAAGATAGAATATGTTTTCTTTTATTTTTCTTTATGGCACAGATGATACTATATTAAAAATCAGAAAAGTTTATATTTCTAGGAAGGAAAGTATGACTATGTGCTACATGTTTAAAAGCATAAAAAAATTGAGTTTTATAAAATGCTTACCTTCCAGTATGGAAAATGGATAAAAATATAAACAGTTTGATAAAGTTAGGCTTAATAGTTGTTTGGAGTTTCAGAAAGATTTTAAGAGATGAATTCTGGATTTCCATATGTATTACTAGCTGGAGGTATTGCTTTAAAAAAACCCAACACATACATATTTGATCATTTAAGAACTGATTTGAGACCATTTGCTTGAGAAAGGCACAGTGAAAGAGACCTTACAGAGATATAGGTATCTACAAGAGACGTATGTGCTGTGACTAAAAAATTTAAGTTTTGAGGTGTTGATTTTAAGGAACAAAATTCGTGCTTTCTACCATGTTTTTTTTCTCTTTTTGTAGAAGCATAGAGTATGATAACTTAATTGTAAGATGTCCTAGCTACAGTGCATGGTTGTAGATAATTAAGATTAGACCTCCCTGTTCATGCAGAAGGGCCTGGATTAAATGGACATTCACGTGTCAATTTGTCTGATCGTTTCCAGTTGAATCGAATTAATGGAACTTCATCACCCCAGTCATCCCTGAGTGCTTCAGGAAGGGTGGCAGCAGTAGGGCCTTACATCCAAGTTCCAAGTGCTGGCACTTATGCTGTACCAGTAGATCCAGTTAAGCCACAGTCTCTCACCATTGCTCCCAACTCAACACATGGAAGATCAAAATCTGGTAAGTACTTGTGTGATGTTTATTAATACAAATGGTTTGAAAAAGGGCAGTAAGGAAAAGGAGTACTTTTCAGAGACCCAGTGTTGGCATAATTGATGTAGGGGAGGAGGCAAGTTTCAGATGTGTTAATACTGTTCTGTGGATTGGACATCAGGCATTTGATCTGTGGCATTTTTGCTTCTTTCCATTATTTTTTCTTAGGAAATTGAGTATTTTCTTTGAAATTTTACTGGCTGGTACATCCCTAAAAGGGGCATGTTTTCTTCACAGATTCTATGTTGTGTCTTTTTCAATTATTTTGTGTGTTTGAATGTAATAATGAAATCAAATTTGTGGAAAACTGTATTATAAATAAGTATTTACACCTTGTTGCTTTTTGTCAAGTAAAACAAAGCTAATGAGTTAATAATAAGAATAATACTTCTCAGAAGGAGACTAAATAGGAAAATAGAATAAAACTATGAGAGGTTTTTGCTCCATCTGGGATGTGGGAATTTGTGGTCTTTGAAGCATTTCTGAAATGGAATAACCATAACATTGATGCTGTTTACTTGTTTCTGCTCCATTTAGTGAAGAAGCTGCCCCTCCAGAACTCCCCAGAACTTTGTGTCTGAAATTGGCTCCCATATTTCCCACTATTAATAATTTCATCTAAAATTTTCAAATAGAATTATTATGTAATTTGTGTTGGAGGCTGAAGGAAGCAGGTCATATTTGTCCCTTAAGTTCTCAATTCTAGCAAATCTCACCTGTTTGCTCATACCTTAGAAAAATCATAATTCTTAAGAAATTATAAGCTGGTAAAATATACATAATACAAATAAAAATGCACGATCCCATTGGTCTAACCATAGGACTTATTTTACCTGATCTCCTAGGAGACATCAAAAAGGGAATGAGTAATGACTAGGAGGCAAATGCTGTTGCAATATTCACATACATTCAAGGACTTTAAACTGAATATTCCAGTAAAATTCCCATCATGATTTCCAGATGGGGAGGAAGAGATGGGAGAAGACAATCTGAACCTCTCTGTAGGAAAGAATGTCAGAAATGTCCCCCCCCCCAAAAAAGCCCCAAGGTCAGAAAGTAAAACTGGCAGAATAGAACTTAAAAAAAAGACTCCAGTATTTCCCATTGATATTAGTGATTTAACAATACCTTTATCAGCTAAAAGTATTCAAAATCTGTGCAAACCCCATCACTGTGGTTTTATGGAAAAGTCTCAAGAAGATGGAATGACTTAATTGTGGGGGTAAAGGTGCAGATTTGCAACAGTTTTGTTTTCAGATTCATGGATTCTTCTTCCACATACGGAAAAGGACAGTTCCTAACATTTAAGTTTCCTAACTAAAAACCACAATTTTGTAATACCAACCTCCCAAAGTATATATACCCACTTCTAGATCTACCTCGGGACTTCTAATATTATAAAAGTAATTATTCTGCCTTAGGACTGGCTTTGTATTTATTATTTTGAAGATACTTGAATGAAATTCTGTAAAATAGATTTATGTAAGGAAAAGCATACATGCTCCCAGGAAGAAAAGAAATTGAGAATTTATTTCAACTGTCATGCTTTTATTTCTCATTATCTGAGTGTTCCTGTTCTAATGTTCTCCATTGTCATTGTTATAATTTTTCCACCACTTTTTTTCTTTCTTTTTCTGTGTAACTGGATCTGCCTTGGTGCGTCCGGTAGAGACAGACTGTGGGTGTGTGAAAAAATCTCCAGACACCTGGAAGGTTTCTGATTTAGACATAATAGTGGATCCTATTCTGTCACCTCCCACTTCTCTTCAGTCTGCTGTTCACAATGTCATCCGCCTGGCACCTACTCTGTTTGACACCCAGCACTGTGAGTCCGTAGAAGATCTCTGGCTAGCTAAGAACTCAGTTTTTAATATGGTCATCTGAGCTCTTGCACACAGATGCATATTAAACAGCATCTTTAGAGCTTGTGTCGTGGTCTGGCGTGTAGATGATGCTGTTGAAATGTAAATTGGTTGAGAAGTTGCTTTTCATCTTTGAAGGAAACAGATTTGCAGCAAATGCATCCCAGGAGTACTGGAGTAGTATACCAGGGATGAGTTGTCTTCTCTGAAAAACCTCAACATTTTCTCAATGTTAGAAACTTCTGGCAATCACTAAAGGGTTTTAGTGTGTTTTGGATTGGATAGATGCATAAAATACATCTTAATTGAGGTACTTCATTTGAGGCTTAGTTTGAATTACTTTGTGGGAAACCTCAAGTTTCTGTGTTGCACTGACTCCAGAGTTGGGATAAAAGCCCAATCTGCCCAAGTCAATACCCAGAGTCTTGCTGCCTTCCATTGGACTTGGAGCATGCATCAATTGCTGTAGTAAGTAACCTGGATCCAGACCTACAAAAATTTTAGGGAAAGTCAGAGAAAATGCACAAAACCTTTTGTGTCTGTGTGTCACTGTCTTATTTCTGTAAATGCACAATGGCCTGGTGAGAGCTGAAATGCAGTGTGTGTTATGTTTACAGGCACAAGCAAGAGGGTGCATTTGGAGGGGTGGATGGAGCCAGTTGGCTGTGGGGTGGCTGAGAGCAGCAGCTGGGGTGGCTGAGAGCACAAGTGTTGGCATCAGATTCCCCTAGACCAGGTTGCTCAAAGCCTCATCCAGCTGGCCTTGAACACCACCTTCAGGGATGGGACATCCACAACTTCCCTGGACAACTTGTGCCACTGACTCCACACCCTCACAGTGTAGGTCAGAGAGAGGAGAGAGAGAGTCTGAATTTACTTCCAGTCTGTTATCTGGGGAAAAATATGCTGTTTGCAATAAGTTTTCGTGTATCTGTTTTTCTAATAGAGAAGTGTTGAATTTGCAGGTAAGATGTTTAAATGTGTCATGTCTCTTGCTGTTGTTTCTGTAAGTGCTTTCCTCATAACTAACTTACAGATCCAGATGCTTTCATGAATCAATTATAACACCTTTCACTGATCTTCAAAACAAAGGTTTTACTGAACTGTAACCTTACTGGAGCTATAGAATGTCTTGTGCATTTTGTACAGTAAGCATTAATTCAGTGCATAGTTGAAAAATGTGCCATTATTTAGAGCCTAAGAGTTTAGACGCCTTTTTGGTCTCACTCTTGATAACCAGATTATTAGAAACAATAACAAACAAAACCCACAACATTTTCAGCTTGTGGATAATGCCAATGTTAAAACTGGGCCTCATTACTTTACTTCCTAGCAGCTTGCAAGTGTGAAAAGTGATTTCTGGACTATATACTGTATTCTCAGTGTAAAAGTATGCAAGTGTTAATCCTGTTTTGAGAGATACTCAACAAAGAGGGTAAGGCTCGTGAGTAGAAACTAGAGTGGTGGTGGAAAATTCACTCTCATTAGAATGTTCCTATGCAGCTTATTTTGGGGCTATCTACTATACCAGACAGAGAATTCTAGAAATAGCCCTGCTGATTCTATTTTCCAGAAGCTTAGAACTGAAATAGGAAACTTGGCCTCTAAATACCTGATTTTCATTTGATGCTGTATTACTGTGGGGTCCAGAAATCTCATTCAATCTCCACAAAGGCACACTCCCCCTCCATTTTAGCTCCTATCCTGCAGTAAAGTCAATTACATGTTACACATCACCTTTACACATTTAAGTGCTCCACTACAACAGTTACAAGCCATAGGGATGGAGGAATGATCTCCAGTCTCCTTACAGGAAGACATGCCTGATGTTTAATCTTTTAAAGGCAAATCAAATCCTTAGGGTCTAACATAGGATTTATTTAGTTACTATAAACTATATCTAATTATTAGGCTACTTAAACTCTTTTGCTTACTTAGAGAACTGAAACTAAATAGTCCCACGCAGTTAATAAAGTAACATCAATGCCTCTAGGACTTCATTAAGGATTTGTTGCTTCAGTTTATGTGCAGCTATGCATGATTTTTTGCATATGATGAAGATAAAAGCCCATGACTTGCATCTTCACACTGTGAGTTAAAGTTGTCAGCTGACTTTATAAATTTATTTAATATTAAATCGCTGGGGCAATTCTAATCGGGTGAGTATGTTGAGGAAAAACAAAAGGTGAGTTAACCACCACTTCCAGCAAAGGAATGTGTGCTTTTGTTCCACCCTGCTGTTGAAGGGAGTTTCTACATCCTGTTATGGGTGAATCAATCTGGTAACCATAGTTTAAATTTGGAGTAAGTCCACTCAGGGCTTACACAGACTTAACATTTACTGTAGTTTGATTTTGTCTCTGGATAGTGCCCAAAGAATTGTGTTGATGAAGTGTTTCTGTGCGGATTGTTACTCTGAGTTTGTTTGCTTTCTAATAGCAGAATATGCAACACTCAAGCCAAAATTTTGATCACATTTTTTCTATAGAAATTTTCAGTTCAATTTGAATTTTAAAGGGTTGTGAACAGCACATTCTATGCAGTGATTTGGCTTTCAATATTGATTTCTGAATCAAATATTAATAATGATTTATCTCACTTCTGGAATAAAACTAATCCCACTGTAATCTAAGATATTTTATTTCACATGTTGTTTTGCTTGTTTGCAATGCTAGTATGGATTATCTTAAATCTAGTATTTTTGTCTGTTTTCAAGCTAATGATGGAAATTGGCCGCTACTTAAACAGAGCTCAGCCCCTGTGGTAAAACCCCCTCAGATCTCCAACACAGACTGGAAAGAATCAAGCATGGATACCGCTTTAAAACAAGGAACTATATCCAGCCAGCCTTTGCCAACTTCAGTATTAGGAAGTACTGATAAGCTGGTGGGTTTCATCTGTGATATATTTATAGTTCTGCTTTGCTGAAATTATGAACCTTTGGCTTTCATAGCTGAACTCACTTCAGTTACACATTCCATTTCCCTTCTGCTATTTATTTAAAAAGTCATAAAGAAAATTATATTTTTTCTGTTCCTTCCTGTTCTTATCACATTAAAATGTGTGGGTTTCTTTCAACTTCAGTACTTTGTATTCCTTCCTATTCTTTTACATATCTAGTCTCCCTTTTTCCCTCTTTGCTTCTCCTAATCCTCTCCCCCCTCCTTCATGTTTTTCTAATTCATATATTTCTTAGTCACTTTCCTTTGTATAGATTATTACTTTTTCAGTGTACTCTTTTTTTCAAAAATCTCACAAAAGAAGTCATTAAATCCATCCTTAAGTGAGACTAATAGAGGTATCTGTCTTCACTGTTGTAATAGTACTTTATGAATTCTTTAAGACTATAATCTTTAAAGAATAAGGACTTGGTCTTCTAGTTGTTTTGCTAAACTCTGACAGTATGTGTTTTCAAGATCAACTAGACACTGAGATCTGGAACCTAGAACAAGTTAATCAGGCTTTGCATGTATGCAAATAGTTTTAAATTGATATGAATGTGTTAGAGCTGAAAGTGCCTTTCAACTGTGGCCTTTGTCTGAGGTATGATGAGATCCTCAGATATGATTCTACCTGAGTTTATCTAGTGATAAAGGAACACAAATTGTTTATGTTGACTCCTTTTCTGTCCCACAAGATTGTATGGTATGTTGAAAAAGGAATGTTCTTGCCCAGAAGTACTTTATTGAATTGAATGGTATATACTATTTATTGTTCTTACACAGGGCCTTGACCTGGGGAAGGTGCCACCAACAGTTCCTGGTGTAAGCAAGCAGCTGCCTCAGAACTATGGGACCTATCCAAGCCCAGTTCCCTTAGGAACAGGTTCTACAAACTCTCTAGAAAGGAGGAAGGATGGCAGCCTGCCCAGGCCTGGCACCAGCATAGCAAATCGGCAGAGGCCGGTCCCGCTGCCGCCGCCCAGCAACGTGCACCAGCCCAGCTCCTCGCAGCAGATCCAGCAGAGAATTTCTGTCCCTCCCAGCCCCACATATCAACCCTCTGGCCCCCCCTTGTTCCCAGGAGGAGAGGGCAGGCCAGAACTGCCTTTGACTGTGGCAATCAGACCTTTTCTCGCTGATAAAGGATCCAGACCTCAGTCTCCCAGAAAAGGGCCACAGACAGTGAACTCCAGTTCCATCTACTCAGTGTATCTTCAGCAAGCAACACCACCAAAGAATTACCAACAAGCTGTGTACAATACTTTAAATAAGTCAGTAAAAGCAGGTAGAATATATTTTGCTTTTTTTTTCTTTGAAATACATTAAGATCTACTTGTTTAGCTTAGTTGACTTCCCATATCGGAAAACTTATCTAAATCTGTGAGGAAAGTAATTTTTGTGCATGCAGCATAGCAGAAAAATCATTCAGTATATTTTTTGAGGTTATCAATAAGTATGCATTGATTTACCTTTTATTTTAAAACAATGTGCAATTGGAACAATATAGCCTGGATAATTTATCAATACTTTGATAAATAAGTTGAAAAACCAGTGTCTATATAAGAGTTTTGCTTCTCTTACTGTTTCCTCGTGAAAGAGGAAAAACATTTCAGGTGCTCCTTGTAGCTTATAATTGTAAGCATCAGCATCACCAACAGGTAAGTATTTATTTCTGTTTTGACAGTCCCCAGAACAATATTTTTTTTCTTTCTGTATTAGTGTCAAACAAGTATCAATAGTTTATTTATAAATATTTTATTATGTAATTTAAGAACAGCTCTTCACTGTTGTCCATCTTTCTTTTCTTCAGTTTATGGAAAGCCTGTATTACAGTCTGGTTCAACCTCTCCCTCACCCTTGCCATTCCTTCATGGCTCTTTGCCTGCCCAGTCTCCCTCACAGCCACCACCTCAGCCTCAGAGTGAGGTCACTGAAAAAGATCAAGAGCTGGAAAATGCTCCACCACCCAGTGAGAACAGCAATGTGGAGAACATTCCCCGTCCTCTCAGTCCTACAAAGCTCACCCCTATCGTGCACTCGCCGCTGCGGTATCAGAGTGACGCTGACCTGGAGGCTCTGAGGAGGAAATTGGCCAACGCTCCGAGGCCGTTAAAGAAACGCAGCTCCATCACCGAGCCAGAGGGCCCCAGTGGACCAAATATACAGAAATTATTGTACCAGCGCTTTAACACCCTGGCTGGGGGGATAGAAGGTGCTCCTTTTTATCAGCCCAGCAATCCACAGGACTTCATAGGCAACTTAGCTGACGTTGATAACGGGAACGCCAGCACCAATGGCAATGTTGAAGAACCAATCCCCGCGCAACCTACGGTTCCTGTCCCTGATGAACCGCCCCCCTCGTCAGATGCCAATGACAATGAGTTACCTTCTCCTGCTACCGAGGAGTTGATAAGCACTGAAACCACAAATCAAACATCTGAGACAACTGAAGACAACAACAACAACCTTTCTATAGTTCCTTCTACTGAGCAGTCACCCAGTCCCACGCCAGAGGTCAGTTCTCCAGTAGAAGATGAAGCTCCTTTGCCACCTGCTCTTCCTCCTCCACTTCCTCCAGTAAGTAACAAAGCAAAAGAACAACTTTGTGAACTACAGAATTAGCTTTGTGCTTAAGCATAACTGGAACATGGTAGGCTTGTGCTCAGCAGTGTCTTTGCACTTGAAGTCTCATGATATTAAAAGGAAAGAAAACCAGGGGAGTTCCAGGGAGAATTCTGATGGATTAGTTTCTTTGCTACTCTACCTGCTTAATTAGGAAAATATGCAAATAGGTAATGGGAGGTTGTGTATGTGTTTCTCAACTTTTTGGAGGTTCTTGTTTTACAACTAATTCAGGAATTGGAGATTCCATTATTTTTTTTAATGTGTTCAGGCCTTCAAAGATAGCTTACCATTACTTTCATACAAATAGTTAGGTCAGTGGGAAGCTTTTTAATTTGCAGGCAAGCTGAAATAGCTGTTCTGGGGAAACTGCTTTCCTTTTCCCCTCTCAGAGGAGATGGAACGGGACTAACTCCAGCAGCAGCATAGCTGGCTTGTGATAGCAGAAATGTTCTGTCACATACTTTGAATTGCTTTCAAAGTCCATCCTCCAGCTGCACTAACATCTTTTAAATACTTGCCATTACCAAAATCTACCACATTTGGAGAATTGAAAAATACAGAAAAGAATTAATTTTATTCTTTGTTGTTGTGATATCAATCACTCTTTGAAACCAAGGTTCATCCTCACTCTTAGATTCAGGTAGGAACCTTTGCATTCTTCTGAGAATTCGACTGCAGTGTGCACAAGGCTTTGTATGGTTTTCCATGAGCATAAGGACCAGGATACTTCTGGGAGAATGGGATATGCTAGCAACTAATATTATTCATAATATGAAGGGTTTATTTTCCAAACTGAAATAGCCATCCTATATAGGATGAAAACAGATCCTACAGAGCTAGAGACCAAAAGCATTCTATAAAAGCTGTAGTTAATAATAGATTATTTTTTCCACAGCAAGTGACAAGGACACATGTAAGGGATTCAGAATATTCTCAAAACACATTTAAATGTGCTTCAGATCTTGCAAATGCAGCTTCTGATAACACCAGCTAGAATGTCACATAAAATAGCTTCATGTTCTGTACTTTTCGTTCCTACAACAAAACTCCCAACTTGCCAGGTCTGACCTTCAACAGAGACTCCTGCTAATTCAAGGCATTGATTCCTCTAAGTACAGACTGGCTTAATTGTGTGGTGCTTTCTAGGCTAAGCAAAAGTTTTCAGTGTCTTAGATAATCCCCCAGTAATATGCACACCTTATATTAGATACAATTAAGATGATGATGCTTAAAACACTGACTTAAGTACTTCATGCCTTGTACTCACTATCTTTAATTAGAAGCTTTGAAACTATATTGGCTTGCTTTTTCATTTTTTTAACTGCATAAAATGTAGTAATGTATCAAGCCTTTTATTTAGAGACTTAAATAGAAATGATTTCATAGCTCTAAATATCATTTAAGGAAGATGAAATTCATAAATTAATAATTTTTCCTACTTGTACAACCTGAAATTTTGCCTTCCAACCTTCATCTTTATTCAGACAAAACGTACCAACTTGAAGAAACCCAACTCAGAAAGAACGGGCCATGGTTTGAGAGTGAAGTTCAATCCCTTGGCTCTCCTCCTAGATGCTTCTTTGGAGGGTGAATTTGATCTGGTACAACGAATCATATATGAAGTAAGCTTTTAAACAATGGCAACCCCATTGCTTAAACCCTTTTTAACCCTTTTCCCATTCAGGGAAAAGAAAGTGATAAACTATTTTATGTTTTCAATAGGTTGATGATCCCAGTAAACCAAATGATGAAGGCATTACACCTTTGCATAATGCAGTGTGTGCTGGTCATCACCACATTGTGAAGTTCCTACTTGATTTTGGTGTAAATGTAAATGCAGCAGATAGTGATGGCTGGTAAGTATCAAGATTTTTAGCCTGGTATCTGGGAGAAGCACCATTTAAATGCACATTCAAAATTTAATTTAATTTAAACCTGTTCTGGGAACAATTTCCTTCGTCTTTACCCCCATCAAATGAGTACTCTCTAAGCTGTAGGTGGAGATGAACTCAAATTCAAGGTTACAGCGTGTTCAGCTCCCAAGCAAGCACACTTAAACCATAAATTAGATTACAGTTTGTGATAATTAGTGGTAGAGTTGCATTTCTTGTTCAGATGCTGAAATAATTAAACTATAAATAACAAATGACAAAAGTTGTTTTGCTTAAGTTTTTTCAACAAAGATACCACTACAGATGTTGGTGTTCATGAAGAATCTCACCTTACAGGTAGCTGTAGCATTCCTGAAGTCTTTTTGAGGGATGAGAATGTGAATCCTCAACTTTGTTTTACCTTTCAGGTTTCCTTGTATTAGAAAATACCCTTTCACACCCAACAGCTTTGTAAGCTGTGAAAATTATTAGTTTTGCTATCATCTGTTTCATAAGGCTTGGCTTTACTGGAGTCAGGTAAATCCTGAAATCCACCCTAGCTGCTTGACAGGTTTTAGACAATGCATACACGTACTTTAAACATAAAGAAAAATTTCCTTTTAAAATAGACAGGCTGTAAAGGGCAAGATGAAAGTTAGGATTCATGGAAACTTCTTTTTTCACATGTACATTTTTTTGCTTTATTTCAGGACACCCTTGCATTGTGCAGCTTCTTGCAATAGTGTTCATCTCTGTAAACTACTGGTTGAATCTGGGGCAGCTATTTTTGCTTCAACTATAAGTGATATAGAAACTGCTGCAGACAAGTGTGAGGAGATGGAAGAAGGTTATATTCAGTGTTCCCAGTTTTTGTATGGTAAGCTGTGACACCACATCTTTCTTAAGATTCATCCTGACTTGTCCCTCTGATCTGAGTGAAACATCTGCTTGGGCCTCAGACTGGATGATATGGCCCATCACGTCCATGTGCCTTCTAAGTGCTAAAACCAGCATCACCTTTTCACTGTGATGTTGGTCTTAGTCCTTCTGGGTTTTGAATTACTTCACAGGCTCCTTCAAATGTTAAGATTTTTAAAGTTTTAATTTGGCTTCATTTCAGGAAGTGCTTCTACAGGGAGGTTTTGACCATAACAGTGAGTTGGCAAGTGTTTTGACAGAGAGACTCCTAACTTCCTGATGCACAGGCTGTCAACTGAATTCTAGCAGTAGGAGCAGCCTTTTATTTCCCATAAAATTATATTAAGAGTTGGTGTTTCCAAGGCATTTTGACAAGGCAGCATGTTTCTGTGTAGTGGTGTTGTGCTCTGATTTTCATCCCTATGCTGAAATTCAGAACTATCTATTATCATCTGAGATCTATACTCAAATTTCTAGCAGATCACACAAAGAAAGAAATATGCTTTATGAATAATTATTTTACAGGAGTGCTTAGTTACTAAAATATATTTTGCAGGAAAAGCACTTCAATGGAGCAAATTTTTTATTTCCATGAGAGGATTTAAGCTTCATTGAGGCTCTGCCAGATCTGACATTGTGTGAGCTCTGAAAGCCTCAAGTGTCCCTGTAGAAGGCCTGCTGTAGGAAGCAGTTTCCACTGCACGTATAATAAATGAGAAAAACTCATTCTCTAAATTATTCTGCAAGATTTTGTTTTATCATGCAGTTAAATTTCTGACAGCATTTCTTCACAGAAGTGCTGAAAACTGTTTGTGATATGTTATTAACAGGAGACTAATATTAGGGCCACCATGTCAATAGTAAAAATCTCAGAGGGAAAAAAGTCTATTTTACCATCTGGTGTTGTTAACAGGAGTGCAGGAGAAGCTGGGAGTGATGAATAAAGGGGTGGTGTATGCTCTGTGGGATTATGAAGCCCAGAACAATGACGAGCTGTCATTCCACGAGGGCGATGCCATCACTATCCTGCGGCGCAAGGATGACAATGAGACGGAGTGGTGGTGGGCCCGCCTCAATGACAAGGAAGGCTATGTGCCTAAAAACCTCCTGGGGGTAAGTTCTTTACCTCTCCCTTCTATTTGTCACCTGCACCTGAAGTAGGAACAAAAGATGGATCTTTAGTCAGAATCCCTCTGTGCACCATCCGCAGCACATTGAAGTGGTGTAAAGCAGATTATTCTCTCTGGCCTCTGTGCCATTGTAAACAAACAGGAGGGGCTACTGTTAGGACATTGGTGCTGGTTGTCTTTGAGCAAGTTAGTATACTTAATATAGTTTATGCTTTAATGAGACTTTTTCTCCTCCTTGGCTAAAATATAGAGCCCTTATGGAAAGTATGGTGGCTCTATTAGGCAGCTTGAAGTCTTGGTTCAGAAAGTTTTTCGGGAAGGTTTTAATACCTGGCACAAGATAAGGACATAGGTGTGTGTGAGTTTAAAACAGGAGAGCCTTGAAGATGACAACTGTGGGCACATTGTTTATCCTGCTCAGACAGATGGAACACTGTCAGGAGAGGCCAGGAATGTTAGGTGACTAAGTAGAGAGCTACTGAGGACAAAATGCATAAGAGAACTTTGCAGAGCAGGAAATAAGCTTTCTGGAGTGCTCAATAGGGAATTTTTGTACTTTTATAAAAGCATCCTTTGTCTGTTCTGGATCTTGAGCTAAATGTACCATGTCATTTTCAGAGCAGCTACGTTGCTGCCATTGGCAGGAGTAAATCAGCCCTTTTCCTCCTGCTTCTTCTTTTTCAGGAGTGGCCTAAGAACATCCCCTAACGTACAAAAGCCCCACCCCCCAAAACACTTCATCACCAAGTTCTGCCTAATAAGTTCTGCCTAAAGTACCCCTTTAGTTATAAATTATTTAAGTTGGTATTAACCATGCAAAGCCTAATACTGTTATTCTGTTTTTTTTAGTTATATCCACGAATAAAACCTCGACAGCGAACCCTTGCTTGAATTCAGTTGTACAACAGTGCAGTACCATGCTGGTAACTGGAAACTTAGAACATACACTGGAGCCATCATTTTTGGTCATTTCACAGAGAGAAATAAAACTATGATATTTAGTTTTAATGGTGCTTTCTCTTGTTAAATGGACAGCATCCATGATTTCCAAGATCTGCAGTTTGTAACGAGGATTGTTTGTGTGACCAGCACTGAGGAGGAGAGCGATGCCTCCGCTACCGCCAGTGCTGCGCCAGCTCTCGTCTCACGCGGTGTTTTCAGTCAGAGTTCCGTGGTAGGAGCTTCCTTGTGTTCCATGTTCAGAGGTGTCATTTGCAGAGTGCAGATGCACTGTCCAGTTTGCTCCCACAGCAACTGTCCCATGTCAGGATTTTGGGTATTTCTGTTCCATACCAGTGAATGTTGAGTTCTCATTACAGATCAACTCTTTGGGTTCTAGGACACAAGATCTTCACCTGTTACATGCATAATTAAGTAGTTACCAAAGCTTGGTGAAGGCTGGGATTTTAGGTGGCAACACAGTAAACACTTAAATCCTAGTCTGGACAACCCCAACGAAAGCTTTACCTAGTCTAGCATCTTGCAGTATTTGCATTTAGAATCAAGCTAGAGAACTAACAAAAACCAACAGTATTTGTACACTTCTCAAAATCCCTACACAATATTCACTTGGTGTTTTATTTTCTTATTACTCAGCCTACAGCACCGGTGTTACCTCTACGAATGTAAAGGTTCCCCTACTAACCCCGAGCTCGTCCAGCCTGGACACAACAGTTAGTACTGAAGTTGCAGCAGCTTAAGGGATCTGTATGTGTGCAGGGATGAAAGTGCAATAGTTGAAAAGGGTAAGAGTCTGGTAAGGGTTATACTGTGTCACCTGAAGTCTGCCTGAGTAGTCAGTCTAGAAAAAAATATGAAGGACTGGATAGAAGTAGAGAAAGAGGGTTGTGTAGATGCCAAGTGGAGGAGAAGAAAGAAACAAGGTTTAGAGAAGGATTTAAGAAAGGCAATAGCTTATTTGAGGACAGTTTCTGTGGTTCTTGGCAGCCTACAACTGCTGCCAAGGCAAGTTATGCAATAACCTGTTCCACTACATTGTAGTTTCAAGCAAAAAAGAAAAACCCCACAAACAGGCACTTCACTGGAATTTTAATTGTACATGATTTTATATACCAAAAGTATATTTTGAATTTCCCGTTATAAGTTTTAGCCATATTTCTTGTAATTTTCTCCCATTTAACAGTATGCAATTTGATTAACTCTTCATGTACAAGTTCTGTGTATAATTTATATATTCATTTTTGCAGTGCTGTAACTTGCTTTTACCACAGGTCAGCATTAACTGTATATATTGTGGTGAAAAGTGAAAGGGTATTATTGTTGAAGAATTTGCTACATGAATGTGATGATTTCAAGAGCCTATGATACACTAATTCAGAGAACATGTAAATGTGCACAATAAAGTACTGCTAAGGCATGGCTGCATTCTCCACTCTCTTTATAGAGGTCTCAACAGCAGATGTGGTTTGGTCAGAGTCTGCATGAAAACACTGATTGTAGTTTGCCAAGGTTACAGCTGTCAACCCACCTTTCCTCCTTGTTTTATCAGCTTCACTGAAGATGTGCTTACACACTAGTATCCCAGTATTCTGACTGGGAAAAGTTAACTTAGAACTAAAATTAGTGTTTTCTTTAGAAAAAGTGAAAATTTTTACAGTTCAGAGACTATGGTGGCCATTACTTAAGAAGTTGTATATTACAAAATTAAATAACACCTTTTTTTAAATAAGTGAATTAATTTATTCATATTTGTACATTAAATTGTATACAATTTCAGATAGCATTACAGTTAGATTAACAAAAGCTCATTACCAAAAAAGAAAATACAAAACTAAAAATTATTCTGGAAGCTTATTACAGAAGTGAAGTTTCACGGTCGAGTTCATACAAGTCAAATCTGGTGGTATTCAGTGAAAAATTTAGATGTTCAAAATTAAATGTTTAAAAAAACCCATGTGATTTCTATAAAATCATATCTAAGGCAGATTTCTTTTTGTACATTGATTTTAAACATTTGGATAGAGGGAAAAACCTGAGATCTATACCCAAAAGCTATTCTCTGCAGAAGAGACATACACATTTGTTTGCTTCCTGTAGCAAACAGTATATATAATGGTTACTATAAAAGTTGTGCTGTACATTAGCTGTAGTGCAGGTCACTTTCATATTAAGTGCCAATAAAGGCTTAACAAAATATACGAAGTCTTAAAAGGTGAGGCTGTTTAAAGCATTAACTGTATACATATTGCACACTACCGTGAATACTCATGGTTCAAAAAAATCCTCACATTGCATTTGCCAGTTCTTACATAATGAACCACGCTGGAATGAGAGAGAGAGTCAAGAACAGCAAATATTTCCAGCTGTCAAATCAGCACAAAGTGAGAGGCAGGTCTGTGGAGGCTGGTGTCTGTGTGTGCCCTCAGGAGGCCACAGCTGCAGTTCTCACTGGTCCCGAGACTCATAGAGAAGTTTTGTTGCCTAACAGAAAGGGAAAATGCCAGTGTTAACTGAAGTTTCACTTGCAGCCACCTTATCTGCTTCCCACCCCTCCAAAAACCTCCTTTAAATCCAGGGCTTTAAATTCTTCCTTGTTTTCCTCCATCTGAAGCCTGTACTAGCATTCAGGAAGTGCTGAATGCACTTGCCATGGTGATAGAAGTTTGAGCACACGCTGCTGAGCAGAGTAAAGGTTGGAGTAGGGGCACCTGGGGAGTTCAAAAATGGCAATAAAGCAGCAAAGAGCCACAAACCTGCCTATACACATTATAATGACAGTTCTGATCAGCAATTGATCAGCTGACTGACTGGAATGGGGCTTTGGTTTTTTCCCACCATTACTTTGATTTAGCAAGTATCAACCTTCAGGTTCATTACCCATGCAGGGCCCAGCACCAAAAGATTAAACTCTTCCATTTCCAAAATCAACAACTTCTTTAAATCTTCATGAAGCAGTAAAAACAATTAGCTGAACTTAGGGTCAAATGAGTATTTCATAGTGCACATTCTTCAGCCAGTAAGAAAATCCAAGGAAGTTTAAAGCCAAATTCTTAGTTCTTTTCATCTAATAACATACATAAGATCTTGGGAAACCCTTCAGAGTGCATAAATTCCTCAGTCTCTGAGCAGAAAGCTAAAGGTATGTTCATTACAGCCAGCCATAGCTTCTGTTTTCCAAGCAACAAGGCCCTGAAGTCCTTGATAAAAAAATAACAGAAATACTCCTAAGGCTGAATGCTCTCTCTGGTGCTGCTGAACACCATAGGTAAAGATTTTCTTCAGCCTTGTCTAAGTTTTGGCTGCTTTGCTTACCTTATGCATAGCTGCCAGCCAGGCTGCTGACAGCTTCTTGTTACAGCTGAAGTCTTCACCAGCAGTAAACTTCATCTGCATCACCTCCTCCGACCCCGGCACCTTGTACTGCAGGACCATTCCTATGGCACGAGTGTTGCCTCCTGGAAAGGGAAACAACATCTGGAACAGCAGCAGGCTTTACCAACTAAGTAACACAACATTTTCCAACTCATGGGTATGTTTGGAGAAATGTGCTCACTGCTCAGTTCAGAGCACAAGCAGCTGCTGGATCTGAGGAGCTCATGACCACAGCTTGTAGTGCAGGCAGTGGAACCTGCGGCCTCCTATTGCTTCATTCTCTATGCCAAGCACCAAGGCAGAACCTGCATCAGCCTTCAGGTAAAGCTACACACCTTCATGATTTACTAGCACCATGTTAAGACACCGTTACCACAGCTTCATACAGTAGCCTGCAGTCTGTAGGCTTAGGGTCCAATCAAACTGATGGCAAAGCAGGCAGCAGTCCTTCCATACCTGGCAAAGGGTGGAATGATGCTTACATAAGGCTAGAGAACAGCTGGCCAACATCATTTACTTCCTGAAGGAAATTGCTGCCAAAGACTGCTCTGCCAAGAGCACAATAAGTGAGGTGTTTGTATCTCTCTCACTGAGGCTGCAGAGATGAAGATAAACCAAAGCAAAAATACAGACATTTAACAAGATGACACATTACTGTCATTACTTCCTGCAGCAGTGGAGCATAAAGTAAGCTCTAGGAACAGCACTAGCATACACAGGACACTTCCTACAAAGCTCTTTTTAGAAGTGTCTGCATGAGAGGGCCCCTGGAGGCTGTTACTGCAATATCTTAGGAGCCAAAACAAATCACAATCTAAGCCAAACTCAATCTAGTTAGTGCTGTTAATGTACCCAACCCAATCAGAAGCCCACAGCAGGGTTTATAAAAGAGCTACTTTCTACTCTCCTAGGATAAATGGAAATTCAACTTTATCAATTGCTTCTCTGCACCTACTGGTCAGAATAATGGATTAAGGGTCTACTGAAAGATAAACCAGTGGAAATCACACACCCACAGCCTTGACCAGCTTGCCCATGTCTGGCATTACTAAGACAGAACACACCTTGCACAACAAAGAGGCCTTTCTTTTAAAATTGTGTAAAAGCAAGCCAATAATTAACAGTTTCAGTGCAAAGCCTTTCCAGGCAGCACACAGGGAGTATATTCATTTCTAGTATGCCAAATTCAGCAACCTGCTAAGCAGATGATCTGTAACACTGTGTACTACTGCAGATAGCATTTCTCATCTCTCCTTCTCCCAGCATGGACAACAGCACTTTGGTCTAAAGAAGGCCTTGAGTACCTTAGTTCTCCTCCAGAGTGTTACAAAACATTCACTCGTGGTTTATTAAACAGACATATGGGAAGGAACAGATACGTGTCAGACTCAAACACAACTCAAGTTGAACAGCAATTATGGATCAAGCAAATAATCAGCACTGCAGAGAATAAAGAGGTGAGGGGGCCATGGCATGCTTGGGTGAGTCATGCTGAAAGGCACTGCAGATACCTTCAGAAACAGGCTGGCTCTCCAGGAGGCTGGTGTAAGTGTGAATATCCTTTTCTACCATCAACAAGGAAGGCAGGCAGAAAAGAGATAAAGCAATCAGAAGAGTAGTGAACAAGGAATTACAGGAGCATTAAGTGACTCAGCAATACACCTGGGTGATTTAAATACCAAGGTAAGTTTATTCAAGTTAACATGCTGTACTGACTGAATAATGCACAGATGGGCTGTGCAATTAGAAAAACCCAGCAGTGACAGAAGTGTTGATAAAGAACAATTATTGAAATTCCTGACCTTGTTTGTTCTCATTTCAGTCAATTCATATTCAGGTTCATCCTGAAATACTCTAAAATCTGGTAAGAGATGGGGCAGTAAGTTGCTGCACTCCAATTTAGATGTTACCAGTTTCATTTGGCCACCCCTTTGTCTTGAATGAAATTAAGAAAGGATAGTTGAATTATTTACTCTCCCTCCCCCATTTCATTCTGTTAACAATGTTTGAACCAGTCCAGGCAAAATCCCAGCTGGATTCTGAAATGGAAGCTACCAAAGACTAACAGTTCCCTCCTATGAGCTCTTAAATCAGTAAATATTTGTACATACCCAAGAGAACAGGTGACAACCACCCTTACTCAGGTTTATCAAAAGGCTCTCCCACATTAAGGCTGTAGGAGAACTTCTAAATCTTTAGGTGTTCCCCCAAATCCCAGCAGCCACAGGGGACATTCTGAGAGCAGTTGTAACCAACACAGTTACACACTGAGTGCACTGTCTAGCTCAATAACTGCAGCATCTTTTTTTTTTTTGTAATAGTTCATTTATATTAAAAGAAAAAATTACCTCCAGGAGTAAATCCCTCTGTAAGTATCTGAACAGTTGAAATCTGTATAATTTCAATTTCATAATGGCTGTCTCCATCCAAAACCAGGTATCTACATAATAGAAGAAAAAGGGTTTTTTCACTTTTTTTTTTCCTACAAGATCAATTCCAAATCAGAGGAAAAAAGTTAAACAATCTCTCAGTGACATTGTTTATCTGTTCTTTGGGGTGAGGAGGAATAGAAATCAGGCAGAAAATGTTACTTTTCATTGAAATTTCACCCTTCCAAGACATTCTGATCCACACTATTAGTAAATTCAAGCAAACATTCCAGTATTGTTGGATCTATCCTTTCAGTCTGATGACTCTCTCCAGTATCCTCAGGGCATGTTACTCTCCTATTTTTTTAGGTTATTGTGTAAGAATAGAGCTGTAAGTACATCAATGCTACAGTTTACAAGTGCAGTTTCCATCAATCTTTCTCACCTCTGGTTGTTGGAAAGTCGACAAACCATGAGCTCAGATTTATCAGATGTTCCCAGAGTTACAAAGAATGTAGCACCTGGAAAGAAATGGTTCAGTATTCTAATAGAATTCAGAATTCAAGAAGCAACATTCAAAGCTAACTTTTACTTACTAATGCACTGAATTGAGTGAAATAAGAGAATAACTGAAAAATTAAACTGATTAACATCACAAAACACTCAAGTATAAAAAGCTGATCTTTAATTATCATGTTCTGACTTAAAGGACCTTTCACACATGCTATGCAATTTCTCCCATGTGTAGAAATGCAGATGATATCCAAGAGGAATCTTTTAAAAATGAGAAGAGATTTGGAGGTGGCAAAGACAGGCAATTAAAGACCCTCTGTCATCACTGTAACACAAATGATTGTTTCTGTATTAAAAAAACCCCCAATTTAATAGCAGGATGTGACCTTCAGTTCTATGCTTAAGAAACTGTAAAGACATCTCTTTTTCATTACTGAAGGCTGGCTCAGTCTTATTGTGAGGTCAATGAACTTCAGCTTTCATGTTGATTCTTCCCCCTCAAAACTGCTTTGGCAAGGGGAAGGTCACTGTTGCTCCACTGGAGAGGTGACTCAGAACTCCAAGCAGCCCAACACACCCGACCCCTTTGCTTCCTCCTCGTGTTCCCTGTGTTACCCAATCCCAATAGGGCTGGCCTGGGAAATGAAGAAAACAACATCCAGCCCTGCCCAATGGTCTGCAATCCATCCCCATAACCTGAACCACGCAGCCCTGGAGTTCCACCTCCCTACTTGCAGCTCACCCAGGCTCACTGGCCCCCAGCACAGAGCCTGTGCTGCTGAAGTGAGACAGAGACAGCAGCACCAAGGCTGGAGAAGGACATTACAGCCACCACCACCTCTCTGACCACCATCTGTGGCTCTACAGCAAGGCAGGAACAACTTCAGAACATGAAAGCAAACAGGACAAGCTTTAAAAAAACCTCTTCAATTTAAAAGATGGGATTTAAAAACTCATCTACACCCTCATGGTAAAGCAGAGTGAAGAATGATTTATGTGCTCCAGGATGAGCACACTCCCTTCTGAACCCAGGATCTCCCCAGGAACATCCTTGCCCATCACATGTGGGGCTTAGCTTACCCATTATGCAGACAGGCATCATGCTGAGAGATCATCAAAAGGCACTGAAGGATCACACACTATTTTAAAAACTGAAGTTTCAGCTTTCTTAATGTAATTGGAACATGAATTACTGTATTGTGAAGGTTTAAACCTATGGAAAACTGAGCACTCATGATGATCTGCCATCAACCACAGCTGTAGGCCATGGACAAGATCAAAGCTCTCAGATGAAGCTTGAAACAAGCACTCTATCTTGTTTGAAAATGTTAAAATATTCTCTCAAGTATTTTTCATCCTTATTTAATGTAACAGGAATATGGTTAAAAGATGCATTATTTCAAGGAAAATGCCAACTGCACACTCATCTGTGCTCACAGGTATTAAAAATTTATCTTTAATTAAATCCCTCTTTGTCAAGACCAAGAAGTACAAACTGAGAGTTGCAAACACTGACTACGAAGTGTGAACCTCTCTCTGAAGAAACCCCTAACACAAAATCATTAACTGCAAAACAAGAGGCACAGCAAAGAGGAACAAAACCACAGCTTGTTGGACAAGAAGCACTGCTCTTGCTGTTCACTGGAATTTGAATAACCACAACCAGGACTCTGGGTGCTTACCATTCATGAGCACTTTGAGCTGTTTGTCGTAGAACTCGGTCTCCTTCTGCGACACCAGGGCGCACTCGGCGCACTGCCGCACGGGGTCCACGAAGCACATGCGGGGCAGAGGCACTTTCTTACTGCAGCACTTGTCACAGAAACACTTCCCACACCTTCTGCAGTGATGCTACAAGCATGAGAGAACACCTCCTTTACTTATTTACTAAGGAAACTAAGAGGTTACCACAAGTTTCTCAGGTGTGAAACGTGCAAGCTGAGGGACAGGTAGAAGAAATGAACTGTTACAGGAATCTCTGAAGGTTGGACAAAAAGGACTGAGTATGATATGAACAGCAACACTCTAAGCCTTTGCTGGCACTCTGTAAAGATGCTTCTGGAGCAAAATAGAGGGTCTCTAATTTCCAGTAAATCCTTCACCTCCCTGTCAATAAAAACCCATGACAAGAGTGGTTTCCAGGTCCCTTCGCACTTCTGGCAAAAGATCTTGGTTAACCTCAACTGAAGTTTCTATTCTTCTTCAACTGCAAATACTATTATTCTCTTTTAAAACTTATTCTCTCTTTTAAAACTTATTCTCTTATTCCCATGGGAAAAATATAATAATCTTCATAGTTAGAACCTAAAGCTATTCCTTTTATCAGAAGTATCAGGCAGCACAGCACAAATCCAGGGAAGTTGTGAAACCAGACCGAGTATTGCAGTGTGTTTCACAGCCCCTAAGTTTGCAACCAGATGGCCTGTGCTCCAGATCAGGGGTGTGACAGTGCCAGCAGATCTTCCTGATGCAAGTTCTCATGACAGAACAAGTACTCCCAGGCAAGCAGGAACTCATCTGTGGCTCAAAGCAACCCTCAAAGTTTGGTACAAGGAACTGGTAACACTGCACTTTTGGTAAGTGTTAGTGTTAGGCTTTCCTTCCAAATGTTCTGCAAAATTCTCTGGAGTACCTATTTCCCAGGGCTACCTCCAACTGCTTCCCACAGCTAACACAAGGGAAACACAGCAGCTTGTCATCTGGTACAACATATGAGTGTGTCTGGTTTAAAATTTCTCCTTCCCTCTCCCTCCAAACAATTAAATTAAAAAACACGAACTGTGTCACTGCACTACAAGTCACACTTTCACATCTTTCTTCACTTTTGTAAGCCTGTGCTAACAAAGTGTCAATGTAATTATACAAAGAAATTATGTTCCCTCCTAAAAATTACTGCTGGCCTTCTTTGGGAGGGTCTCCATGTCATATTCTGCATCCCAGTCTGCATTCCACAGTGACCTCTTACCATTAATAACAGAATTTAATGTTAGTGTTTTCTCTTCATCCAGTGAGCCTAATTATGTACTTTTCACTTTCTACTCTAATTGGAATTTCTCTCTTCCAAACTCAAGACAAATCCTGGTTTACTTTTCAAAATATGTCAATTGTAGTATTTTGTAACACTTACTGCTTCGTATTTCATTAATTTATCTTACCTTTCTAGTTATGAAGTCAAATTTTGTATCACACTGCATACATCTTGGGCACTAGAAAACAGTACAAATTAAGATTAGTCTACAATTTTTTAAACCTTTAATTCTACCGCCATATACAAAGAATGAGCTTCATATTATGCCCCATAAAGAAACACCTCCACAAATTTCCATCTCTTCTCTTTTCACCATGAATAGCTTTCATTTAATATTGATGTAGCAAAATAATGTCATCTCCATTTGCAAGACAAAAAAAAAGCTGCCAAACTTCCCCCTAATGAATAGTGCATCCTGCCAGCAGGCAAAAGTACATCTCAGAATGATTTACCATTCAAACATTGATAATGTTTGGCTATCTAGACAGTCCCATATTCCAGAATCAACTGGTTTTCTCTAAGTTGTCCTCACTTTACTCTACTACCATGCTCTGCTGACTCGCCAAAACATTGTTTACACAATTTAATGCTCTCAATACTCACACATTTTTGAAACATGCTAAGAGATATTTGGTTTTCTTCCAAGCCACCAAGACCTAATGCTTATTCCAGCTACAAAAAGTCACTTCCTGAAATATCTCTTTCCTAAAACAAACTTACACCCACACTCCTTTCAAAAAAAAATGACAGAAAAAAATTGAAGGAGTTTCTCCCTTCCAAGTAAGTAGAGTTTAAGGGGTGACAGCTTTGACTGTGTTAACAACTAGAAGTGATCAGTGACTGCTGGACAATCAAAATTTTCTATACAGAAAGTCACCTACCAAAGGGTTGATGCCCAACCCTTAGGTCCCCGGATTTTCAACAAAACTTTACATCTTTTTATCTACCATATCAAACCCCAGTGTCTGAGGCTTATAATGCAACTTTTGCTATATTTACTAGCAAATATTAATGCAAAATTATGCCTGGTTAGAAACTGAAACTCCTCAAACCAGACTATCTCAGACTACAGCAGAATGTCGTCTTCACCACGTGCCCTGAGCTGAGCAGGTGCTATTTGCTAAGCACACAGTGATCACCCTTTGCCTTTAATTAACACATTTCAATACTTAACCCTTTTTCTTCTATAAATCCCCTCAGGTTACAACAGCTTCTATTCAGGGATTTTTGCTCCAGCAGATACTCAATCACTGTCACAAATCCAACAGCTGCAGCCAAGAAAATATTACAGCAGCTAAATTAAAAATTCTCCAGAAATTTTTCATGTCCTTTTCAAGTGCAAGCTTGTTAATAATTGGTGATAGTTTATATGAAAGGCTGTGCTGTCTAAACAGACATTTAACACATTAGACAGTAATGGCAGTCACTGTAGTGGAAGGTAAACACCTACTTGCAGAATTTGTTACAACAAGCTGTTTCCAAATCCCACACAGAAGAGCACTGGAAGTGTTCCTGAACTGCTTTCACTAACACTGAACTGAGGCATCCAAACACAGCTTTTCACAATGGCTGCAGAAAAGCTTATTTCAACACTCACTGATAAATAATGTCAGCATTGAGCAATTTCAGCACACACCAGGTTTCACCTCTGTAACAAGCAGAATTCCACAGCTAATGTCATCTTCTGTTATATCTGGTTTTAATTTTTGACATGTAGCTTAATAGCTTCCCTGGGAGCTGGTCCTGGCAATAATTTTGGTATGCCTTCAATTTACCCAAGTTCTAATTAATTTTCATAATGAAAATATTTGGGAGGTTTTTGGTTGGGTTTTGGTGGTGGGGTTTTTTTTTAGTTCACCTGGACTGGGTTTTTTTATTTGTTTTTTGCCAAAAAACTTGTGCAGAAAGCAGAAGTCACAAGCTAGAGGGGGAAAAAAAAATCAACCTCAAACTCTTCTAAATACCGTTCTACATGGATTTCATACAGAATTCTAAGCTAAACATAAAAGTGGTTTTTAGGAAGGAACAGAATTATCCATCCTCTTATTTAACACAAACTATAGAAAAATATTCTGAATTCCAGACCCATGATGATTGCCCTGCCTGATACAAACAGCAGTCCTAAATAAATCACAAGTCAAGTAGCACATGGTAGCTGGCACTGCAAAATGGGATTTTCTTAGGAAAATGTTCTGACACAAGCAAGCTCAAGATACTGTTCCTTTGAGGTATTTCTGCTTTAAGTAACCAGAATGGAGTGAACCATTTGCATAATGTCAATTTCTGCTTTGCCTGGGACAAGATATTTATTGAGAACATCCTGAAATGTGAATTCTTCCCATTCATCCATACATTGACATAATCAGAGAGTGACTAGCATTTAATTAAGTTTTATTGCTTGGAGGGGTTTTATCACATTAGCAGAGAAGGAAGCACAGTGTCCAAGTTACTTCTCATGTCTTCAAATAAAAAGATGTGAAGCAAGAAATTAAGTAAGAATTCATGTCAGAAGTACATTCATTTCATGTGCAGTCAAGCACCAATGCCAGTATCAGATTACAGATTATCAGAAAGAGGAAAATGAAAGAACATCCAACAGCTGTTGGATCTTGGCATTAATTTAAAAATACCAAGAGCTGGTTCATTGCAAACTTGTCATGGGTTTGCTCAGGTGTGAGAACTTATTTCCATAACCCCATAGATCCAGCCAGAGGTGAGGATCCCATGGATGGCCAGGAATCAATAGTTACACTCCACATGCTTTATTTGCATAAATAATAACAGAGTGGTTCAAGAAGGGATGCTTGGGAAGCCCTGGCTGAGTTCCCTAACACAGGGAACCTCTGCAAAGGAGGAAGTTCAGGGAATCCCACCTGGCCAGAGGGGGAAAGGGCAGGATGCAAAGCCAGGGCAGGCAGAGCTGGGCTGCTCTGACCCTGCCTGAGCCTGGCCTTGGCCAGGAGGGCTCAGCTCCCTCCTGCAGCAAGGAAGGAACCCTCCCAGCACAGCTAGCAGCTCCTCAGCCACGGGAACATCTGCTGCACAGCTGGACATCACAGGGTTTGGCCACCTCTGCAGGCAAACTGACACATCTTACTCAATTTCTAGTCCAAGCTTTCCTTAACAGAAATATCATCAATTGAGCTCTGCTGGTGATTAACAAAGAAATTCTGAGTCAGACAAGGCACATGCAGATGCCAACATCCTAAGCTGTCCTGAGTTTAATGATGCTCAGCAAAGACTTTCATAAATCCCCCTCAACTCATTACCTCTACTACAAATAAAATTACTTTAAAAAGTAAACTTTTCAGTAGTTCTGCTCCAGCCTTGCGTTTCAAATTCCTCATAGTTACTGGTATTTTAAGACTGTATAATCTTGTGATAAAAAAATTTAAAACTTAATTACATTTCAATGCTGTATAAGCTGCACAAAACTACCAACTGCCATCATTATTAGGTGGCCTTAATTTAAAAAAATAAGCCAGTTGACTCTTGCATAAGAAAAATAAAATTACTGGATTTGTGAGTGTTACTGGCTGCACAGCAAAAGCCAATGGATTTGAAAAGCCAGATAAGAATTTACTAATACCACTCAAGGTCTTGTCTTGGATATAGACACTTCATTTTTAATTATGTCTGACAGGGTAACAAGAGCAAGCATTCTCAACTAATTCATTGCCTAGGTAACCCTGTATCTTTAAATTTAATTGTTCTTAACAAAAACTTGGGATTTATAAGCTTCCCTGTGTATCACATACCCGGTTTATTTTAGGAAAAAGTTTGCAACATACTTGGCAATTGTTAACCAAAGGGATGTCAGAACTCTAACATACTTCCAGAAATCTAGTAAATTTTTTTTTTCTAGTAAAAAAATATTTTACTTCCATAAATCTAGTAAAATAATTAACCACAAAATAACAATTCATAGTCTTAATCTTGCATTAACAAATGCATTTTAAATATTTACCTCTATCACACTTCCTCTCAATAGCAATTATCACTGAGCACATTCAGTCACAATTCAATACCCTCAGCCTATAGATCTGCAGACTACAGGGGGAAAGCTGAATTTTAAGGAGAATGAAATTACAACAGAATTGTAATAGAAAATTCAAACTAACAACGCACATCAGACTGATGTAGCTACAATACACAGATTGAATTCTCTCTATATAACTAACAAGTTTAACTAGATGCTACCACAGTCCCCAAACAATCTTTAGCTGAATTACACAGAACGTTCTGCCCGCAGAGATACGAAGCAGAGGGAGAGGCTTTGTTCTGCACTCCTGACCGAAGGAGGACTTGGTGTTCCCGTGCAGAACAGCCCAGCACGTCCGGATCTGCCCGGGAACGCTCTGCTGGCTGACCCCGGCTGAAACCCACACTAAATAAATCCTCATTCCGCTCACATGTAAATGCACTGGCGTGTGTCCACGCCACAGAACGCCGGCAATAAACAAATAAACCAACAATGGATTCTGTGTTGCTTGTGCATCTGGGTGCAGCGGCTGGCAACAATCAACTCTCGTTACATGAAATTAAAAATATCACCATCACTAAGTTGTTTACTTAAGAAGCATTTAAAGCAAAGTTGACTGAAACAGACTGAGCTGTTCAATGGCTGTTTAACACCACGAACACTCACACCGGGAGCCAGAAGGGCTGTTCTACCTCAGCTCTATTACTTCAATAATGTATGCAGTTAGTTTTAAACCAAACCACCTTTATAAGCATTTAAAGCAACACTGCACAGCTCGCTACACTTCTCACCACCAATCGCTCGCGAATTTTCGCGCCGGGGCCGCACAGCGGAGAGCAGCGAGTGACAGCCCCGTCCCTGCGTCCTTTAACCCACCAGCCCAAGGGAAGCGAAAAAGCGGAGGGAAAGGGAGGAAGGAACAGGGGGAAGGGAAGCGCGGCGCCCCTGCCCCGGCGGTACCTCCTTGTCGGGCACCCAGGGCGGCTCGTCCAGGCCGAAGGGGCTGCGGGCGGCGCGGTGCTCGGGCACCATGCGCAGCCCGCTGGGGGAGCGCACCAGCTTCTTCGCATCGCCGCCCGACATCTTCCCCCGCGCGCCGCCGCCGCCGCCAAGGGACGCCCGCGCCGCCGCCCAATGGCCGCGCGGCGCTGCGCGACGGACACGACGCCCAACCAATGGGAAGCAGCAGCTCTCCGGCCCCGCCCACGCGCTCAGGGCTTTCCAGCCAATCCCGTGCCCCTCGGTGCACTAGTCCCGCCTCCTTCGTGTCCCGCAACCCGGAAGCGAAGGGTTGGGTCGCCGACTTCCAGGAAGCGGCACACCGAGCCCGGGCCGCCGCGGCCGCGAGGGGCGGCTCCGCAGGGCGCGGTTCCGCAGGGCGCGGTTCCGCAGAGAATCCCCGGTCGCTGCCGCAGCGCCCGCCCGAGGCTCTGAGCCAGCCCGGCCCAGCCCCGCCGCTCCCGGCCGGCCCAGCGGGAGGGGAACGAGCGCCGCCCTGCCATTGGCTGTCCCGCCGGGGCAGTCACGGAAGGGAGCTCTGATTGGCCTGCGGCGGGCAAGCTGCTCGCTGATTGGCTGCGCGGGCGGCGGGAGATTCGTGACGGCGTGAGGGCCCTGTGGTGGCGCCGCGCTCTGTCCGGCCCTGTGTCCGGCTGTCCGCGTGTCCGACTGTCCGCCCCTCGCTCCTGCTCCGTGGCACCCCCCGGCTGCACCGTGACCCGCTCCCGGTGTTTCGCTCTCCCCCGGGCCTCATCCATGGAGCGGCTCCCTGTGGGCAGAGAGCGCGCAATGGTTTGGAGCCCTTCAGTCGAGGGCCGTCACAACCATGATTGATGTCGGTAAGTTTCGGCTTCTAAACCTTCTCAGAATGTTGCTTTAAATGGGTGTTACTTAAAAGTAACTTGCCTCTCTTTTAGATTTATTCTGCTATTAGCGGCCATCACAACCTCTCCCCCCCGTGTTGAAAAAGGGATTGTTCATAAAGTTGTGTGTGGTCATATAAATACTGGCTGTCAAGCCTTCATAAATTTATCAGAATAATGATAAGAACCTCTTCTAGGCATCCATGGGGCTAAATTGTTGTGGTTTTGACCGAAGTATTAAAAGAGCTGTTTAATGTTGTTACAAGTAGCAAACAGATTTGAACGATTTAATATTAAATTTGCTTTTAGCTAATAAATGTAAATGTATAGTAAATAAATGATTGTCCAATGCAGCAATAATCCTGGGTCATCCTAAACTGCTGGTGTGTGAGATTTTTTTTCTGTTAGAAAACGAAAGCCTCGTGTGAGGACGGACAGGGCAGGAATAAATCACTGTCCTGCTTCCTTGTGAGCTGCACATAGAGCAAAAGCACTATGCAGAATTACAGACAACTAAAACTACCAGGAGCTCTGAACTGCAGGATTATGGGTTGAATTCTTTAATAGGATAGATGTAAACAGCCATCAGAGAAGAGAGCTCAGCACTCACTTAGGGCTGGTAGAGGGGGAGGATCACCTCCCTCAGCCTGCTGGCCACACTCTTCCCAAGTAAAATTACATCAATATATAAAATAATAATAGCAATAATTCTCATAATAACCCCAGAATAATTGCTACTTCTCTAAGGTAACTGATAAATGTATTAAAAATAGGAAGGAAAAAAGTAGTTCTGGAAACTTTTGACACTGATTTGTGCCTATTTTTTTCTTGCCTGTGTCTGTGATAAAAGCCACTTTAATCACAGATAATTATCTTTTATCACAGATAATTATCACAGATAATTATGGGATGTGCTGCTCACTGCTGTGCTGTGTCAGGAGATGGACTGGGACCAGTTTGACCTGAACCCTAAAACAATTGCTGCCCTGAAAAAAGGTAATTTAATTTGCCATTGTCTCTAACAGATCTGTCACCACTGTGACATCCTTGACATAATTGTGTGTTTGTGGGTATAAGCAGGCAGATGGACACTAACATTTTAGAACTGTAATTAAGTATTTCATAAAGAAGTTTTCTGAGTAATTAAAAGTGCTGGGTTTTGCCCATGCTTCAATAATAAATTTCCAAACAATTTTACAGCTTGTCTTGGTGCATTCCACATGAGTGTTGCCTGCCCACCATACAAGAATGCAGCATAGATAAACCTCAAGTAAATGAGAATTACAAACTGGGAAAACTTTGCTGTGTAAGACAGCCAAAAGTATTTATAACTCTTGTTTCAGCTGACATCAAATCAGTAAAAGAGATTTTAAACCTGTCTGGAGCAGACCTGCAGAGGCTGATGAAGCTCTCCAGTGCAGACACCCAGTGCCTGCTGAAAACAGTCTCTCACACTCTGAGGAGGAACAGCATGCTCACAGGTAATGCAGGGCATAAAAAAATCTTCTAGCTAAAGTTCAGAACTGTCACTGGGAGAAAATGTGGTTCTGGCTCCTCAGTGACACAGAAATGTGGGGTTAAAATGGAATGGAAGTGTTTTAATTGTGCTGAAGTGAATTATTTAACTGTGCCAAGGACAGCTCCCCTGGGGGTAAATGGAAGTGAATGGGTTCCATTTTCAGGATTGAGCCTGCTTGAAACAGGACACAGTGTTTCTCCAGTCTGAAACATTAAACACAGGAACAAAACATTTCCTTTTTCTTTCACACTCTCTTCCTCTCTCTCACTATTCTCCTTTTGGACTAAGACTAGTTGAAAAATGTATATCATATATGAAAACTTCATAAACTGCTTTGTCATAAACTCCTCATTCCAAAACAAGCAGGACCTAATAGCTCCTCCTGTACAAATTCTTAATAACAATTTTGTGTTTAAAACCTATTTTCTTGTGGTTGCATGTGTCTTCAGGCTCTGAGCAGATGCCTGCTGTGCTGTTTTGTACTCTGTCTGCTATTTTCATAATTGCTGTGCTTGAACCTTTGCTGTCAAAACCCTCTCTGAGTGTAACTTTCCTCAGAGACACCTTAGAGGCAGAGAAAGCAAAAAAAGAGTTTGAGAGGAGGAGAGAACTCGGTGTAAATTATCAATCTTTGTCCAGATACTCAGCAGAGGTCTGATGGGGAGAGAGAGGGGGGGAAGACCAGGCTGAATTAGGGAAATTCTCCATCAGCAATGCAAGCAACCCTTGTAGGGATAAAGCTTGTGCACAGCATCTATTCTGTATCATTGTGTGCTGGAAAAATAATAAATGAAACTACCTGTTTCTTTTTGATCATTAAACCCTGCAGCACTTCAGCTCTACCAAGATAAAGATCCTTTCACCTCCCAGCACCAGAAGCTGAGCCTGGGGTGTGCAGTGCTGGACAGCTTGTTGAAAGGAGGCATTCCTTTGGTGGGAATCACAGAGCTGGCTGGGGAGAGTTCTGCTGGGAAGACTCAGATTGGTTTGCAGCTGTGCCTGTGTGTGCAGTACCCTTACAAGTACGGTGGCTTGGAGTCTGGTGAGTGCTGAACTGAACCTGGGTGCAGTTCCCAGTGAGGGAATGCACTGTCCTCAGGAGCCTCAGCACAGGCTCAGTGCATGTAACTTCAGCAGGAGAGCAGGCAGTGACTGATGTGTGTTTGCAGAGAGAAAAGCTGCAAATCTGCAGCACAGCTTAATTAATTCACAGTTCCTGTTGGCTGTTGTTTGCCTGCCTGCCACTCTGGGTTCAACTCAGCACCCTCTCAAACAATGGAAGAGAAGTGGTGCTGTCATTGGCTCCTCAGGTCAGCAGGACAGCTCAGCAGATCACTCTCTGCAAACATCTTGGGTCTATGGTATATATTCCCTAGCTGGGGATTTAAAATTTCAAAGATTATTTGTTTTGTTAACAATAGTTGTACTGATTTACAGAGTAAAATCAATGGAAATATAATTGAAAAAGGTAACATTGTTTTGTACCTGTGATTTTCCTGGGTTTACCAAAGTATGCAGGTTTATTCTTTGATTTGAGTATGGTTTTTTTACCCTTCTGTCATATTAATCTAACTCCTAATTTTATTTTTTTTACTATTGCTGCCATAGAAAGGGAGGAAGCCTGTGTCACTTCTGAGGATTCTGGTACTCTGCCTTAGGTGTGTTTTGCCTGTGACCTTGCTGCTCCTTCCAACAGCACTGCCTTCATCTGGCAGCTCAGTGGCTCCTTGTGGGGAAACTTACTGCTTTTACTGTATCCACCCTTGTGGAAAAATCATGGACTGTACAAATTGAGATCTTGCTTAAAGGGCTGTGAGTAGCCCATGGCTTACATTACATGGTGTCATTAATCAGAGCAGAAACAATTCTATTTTGTTCTGTTCCTTTGTGTGCTGCTGCTAACTGCTGCACAGAGTTAAATAAATACGTTTTTATCCATGCTCCAGCACTTCTTCCTGTTTGTGTTGAAATCAAGGAACAGAGGAAGATGCCCAACACCCTACTGGCACTCTTGTGTTGAGCCTCCCATGAGAAACACAGCAATTAAATCTTAGGTTAAATGTGGGAGTTTTATCCTTTAGGAAACTTGAGGAGAACAGCAATGCTTAGAAACTCTCACAGAACTCTGCACTGCCAGCGGAAGATTTTGCTACTGATTTAAAATTATCCCTGTATTATTATTATCCCTGCATTCTATTTTTTTACTGATTAGAAATTTCCCTTCTCATAAGTGGTGATGTTGAAATACATTTCTTTAAGCAGTTACTTCATTAAATTAGTGCTAGTCTTGTTTGTAATTTTCAGGGCAAGGAGGTTGGCAGTAAAGAAATGCTGAAAGTAAACAGAGGCCTCCTTTGCCTCCAGGATATCTTTCTGCTGTTCTGGAATGTCAGTTGTGTTCAGTTGTGTTGGCTGAATTTATTTTATATGCCCATATTCATAAGTAATATGTGAATATAATGGAACAAATTAATATCCTTATTAGAATTCTGAATTAGAAAATAATGTTTGCTACTGATTCTTGGTAACAAACTTGGTTTGGTGCCTGACAGATTATGATCATAGGAATAAATTTTTTTTCTTTTTGAGGTTGGGGGGTTTTAGTGAGTTTTATTCCTGTTTGGTTGGGTTTTGGTGGTATTTTTTTGTCAATGACCAGCATAACACATTTATTGGCCTAAAAAACAGATTTAATGAAATTGCTGATTTTTGTTTGGGTTTTGTTGAACTCGTGAATGTGTTTTCAGTGTCCTGAATGTTGCAATAACTATGGATCAAAATACAATTATTTAATCAATGGAGCATCAATCTATCTAGAAATGCAAATCTGCATCTGGAAGAACCCCAGTGACTATGAAATCTGAAGAAACGGACATTCCACCCTTTTTAAGTAAACCAAGAAGAGGACAAGGTTTAAGGCAGGTCTGGTTTTCAGAAAGCAGATGATTTCTCTGTGAGCCCACAATTCATGGCAGAGAAATCCCTGTCTTTCAGCATTAAAGCAGCACTGTGCAAAAGGCAGTCAGCTTAAATAGGCATGGCAGCTGAGAAGGCCAGAAAGTTTTACTTAGCAGGAGCTGTTGTCTCAACACAAGTTAGCACAGGTGTTTTAGCATGAAATTCATAGTGTGAATTGGATTTCTGTGGTTTGGATTTCTGGCTGAAGCAGGCAGACTGTGCAGTGCCACTCTGTGGGTTGGATAAAGTGTGATACTCCTGATGCCAAGGGCAGTGATCAGGTGCTCCTCAGCTGTGCACAGTGAGTGTCGCCCAGTGCAGAGTACAAATCCAGCTGTCCCAGCTGGTGCTGAAGAAAGGACCAGGCAACTGCAGGAGAGTCACAGAAGGGGGGTTTTTGTTCATCTGATTCAACATGGTTACAAAATAACCAAGCAAACATGATTTTCCAGCTTTTAAATGCAGAATGTCTGCTATCATTTGTGTGCTGTAAGAAAACTGTGTGTAAGGGCCCTGTGGTTTCCTTGGCTACAGGAGCTGTCTACATTTGTACAGAAGATGTGTTCCCAAGCAAACGTTTGCAGCAGCTCATAGACCAACAGCACAAGCTGCGTGCAGATGTTCCAGCTGAAATCATACAGAAGATCAGATTTGGAAACAATATTTTTGTTGAGCAGGCATCAGACCTGGTAAGTAATAGCACAATGTTTCTAAGGCTCTTGATCAATATGGATTTGAGGCAGTATTTTACTGTTAAGGTCATCAGTGGAAGAGCAGCACAGTTTGTAACTGGTCTGGAACACTTAATGATAATGTCATGTCCTGAGTGTTTCAGTGAGAGCCACTCCTTGCCCAGGTAGGCTGAGAAAGTTGGGGCTGTTCAGCCTGGAGAATAAAATGAGGTCCCTCCTATGGGGACCTCATTGGAGCCTTCCAGTGTCTGAAGGGGCTGCAGGGAGGCTGGAGAGGGACTCTCTGTCAGGACATGTGGACAGGGCAAGGGTTCAAACTGAAAGAGGGGAAATTTAGATATTAGGAAGAAATTCTTACTGTGAGGGTGCTGAGATACTGGAAGAGGTTGCTCAGAGAAGATGTGGCTGCCCCATCCCTGGCAGTGTTTAGGGCCAGGCTGGATGTGGCTCTGAGCAACCTGCTCTGGTGGGAGGTGTCCCTGCCCATGGCAGGGGGTTGGCACTGGATGATTTTGAAGGTCCATTCCAACTCCTTAACATTAAATAACTCTATGAAAACAGAACAGTTTAGGAGTGTAGTACTACACCCTTGAGATTTAAAGGTATCAGTGAAGTCAGAGCTGCAGGTAAATGCAGGTTGCAGTTTTGTCTCTTCCTCAGTAACACCACCAGCTGTGGTTACTGGTGAGACTCAGAGATCCACCAGCTGCCTTCACGATTCAGAACTCCCTGAGCTCATGTGCAGTGGTGATTGCTGCAGTTCAGTCTCCTGATGCCCAGCAGGGCTCTTTGCCTGTGTCATATTGCGGGGGAAGGGTAGATATAAGTCCAATTGTGTCAGGAACCCACGTCTTAAAAAAGGAACCCACCATGCCGCAGCAAAACGTCCAGATATAGACAACATTGGAACCAGACCAGTGAAAAGATTTTTGCTTTTATTTCCAGCACATCAGTCTCAAGACACAAAATGGAGACATGATGTTAACAGCTCACTGATCCACACAAAATGTCTCTCTAGGGTGGGGTGATACAGAAAGACATAAAATCATCTCAGCCAATCATACACAGAAAAACACATATTGACAAGCATTCTATCCAATCTTATAAAACACACATAATGGTAGTTAAAACAAAGACTAGTTCATAGGAGACAAAGATCAGAGCTCTATTCATGCTAACCTTCTAAAGATATACATTAAATAACCTTGTTGCCATCCTAAAGCCAATTCTACAGAGGCCTATTGTTATTTGTCATGTCTACTGCTTGGGAAACTTTTCTGCTGTATCTGCAATGCTAACAGAACTCCAGCCTAAGGCCTACATACTTTTTTAACCATTTCCTAAAAACCCTCTAACTTTATGGATTCCAACAGTGTCACTGTCCCTGTGTGTGTGCAGGACACGTTCCAGCAGTGCCTGACCAGGCTGTCCCCGCTGCTGGCGCGGGGCATGGCGCGCCTCGTGCTCATCGACTCCATGGCCGCGCTGTTCCGCGCCGACTTCGGCCCGGCCGACGCTGCCCTCAAGGCTCGGCACCTGCAGGCCTTTGGGGCTCAGCTGCACAGCCTGAGCACCAGCTTCAGGACTCCCATCGTGTGCATTAACCAGGTAAGGTGTCCCATTGCTTCTTACCTGTAGGGATTGCTTAATAAATGGCTGGAGGGTGATGGAACAAGCAGTGTAAATGCAGATTTCATGGTGCTGAATTTACCACCGTCAGCTGATGACTGATGGAAACTGAAGCTTCCTTAAACTGATGAACTTTAGGAAATGTTAACTACTCAAAGTTTATTATTTAAACTTTTATAGGCTGTTAATTGTAGGGGGATAGAATATAAGAAAATAAAGGTAGTATAGATAGTAATCTTACCCCTAAGGAGTTGCAATTGAGCCAATTATTGGAGATGAGGAACAGGCCTGACTTTAACAGGCCACAGCCGTAGCCAGTGAGAAGAGTACTATAAAAGAGTGAGTTAGTTGGTTGGTTGGTTGAGAGGGAACTGGAGTCAGTTGGTTGCTTTGTGGAGAAGGAAGAGTCAGTGCTTACAGGAGCTGCCTATGAGAAACATTAAGGAGGTGTGAAACTCTTGCATGGAACCTTTGCTATATAATGACAAAAGTTAACATTCTCAAAAGCTGTCCACTAAATCTAACAGAAATAGATATGTATAGCAACTGCACAGAGCATCAAAGCAAAATAACAGAGTTCTTATCCCTGGCTTCAAATGCCATTGTCAGGAGGATTGCTCTGGGAGCTCTGCAGGCAGTTCTATCCCAGGAGACTGAAGCACCAGGGACTTTGCTGCATTTCTGTGGAACTCAGCACTTTTGTGTGATTGCTGAGATTACTGAAGCACTAAAGTGCATGCACTGACTTGAGCTGGGCCAAAACGAACCCACAGTGATCCTGGTCACAAAGAGTATTCTTTTGAGAAAACAAGGCAAGACACTGCTCTTAGTCCACTCACAAACTGAAGGAGCATCTGAATGCCAGAGGTGAAGCATTCACACTCCAGTGTGGCCTCGGGAAGTCAGTGTGCAGCCAGGCCACTGAGAAGCTTCAAAGGTAGTGAAATCATTGAGAACAGGGCACTTTTGGGAGATCTGGGCTTTTGTACTTTTTATCTCCAGCTACAGCACTGCAACAGTTTTGTGAATGTGAGGGGTTTGTTTATGGCTTGGGTTTCTTTTTTAACAAATAAGGCATCCATCTAGTAGTAGTTTAGTTAATGCAAGCTGTACCTTGCTAAGTAGTTCTAACACTGTAAACTCAGCTTGTGATTCCCAAATCCATTTTAGTTTGCCTTGAAAGAATAAGTGTTTTCTAACTTAGCTTAATGTATGCTCTGATAACTTGGATTTCCTTGCCTTGGTTCCCTTCCCTGCCCTGGTGCTTGCTGAACACAATCCCAGAGCCCCAGGTCAGCTCAAATCTGTGTTTGTGCTGCAGGTGACGGACGCAGTGAGCGGGTCGGAAGCTGCTCAGTGCAGTTGCAGGTGAGTCACCCACACAGTGACAATGTCAAACACAGCAGCTCTGAACCATCCTGATCTTTGTCACCCCAGGGTGGGCTACAAGATCATGTGAGGAGCACTGGGGCATTTACCCAGCAGTGCTGGATTTGCTGGAGATCAGCACTAGCTCGTGCTGCGAAGGGGAAGAAACTGTCACACACATTTACATTGTAATCCCTGATCACAGGTTAGCAGGAAAAATTCCCTGGAGTTAATGGCCTGAGTACCTGCTGACACCAGAGTATTTCTGCATCTTTCTCTGATGTAACTGCATGCACCTCCTGTCTGCTTAAAAAATACAGCAGCCAAACCCTAGCAGCTGGCTTTGTTAGTGAGCTAAGGAAAAACCCAAAATAGTATCTTCTGACACCAAGATATTAACAGGATTCAAATGTATGTATTTGAACTATAACCTTGATTTACTGCATAAATTGGGTGCTACAAAAGTGGGTGTTTGTGAGAAGTTCACTGTGTCCTTCAGATTCTGGAACTGACACAGAACAAGGATAAGGTTCAATTATTATTTTTGCCTGATTATCTTGTATTTATTTTACCGGAGAAATCACACTTTTTCCAGGAAAAAAAATTGTTTTAAACCTTGAGTTGAATGTCACACAAATGCAGTGTTCTGTTTACCCAACATTTCTAAATATACCTGCAAATGGAATCCAAGGCCAGCAGTTACACATTTCAAATATTAAGAGTTCAGTCATTTTTCTCGTGTGGTTTTCCTGTTGCAAGAGAGGCCTGTCTGGATGGAGGCAGGTGTTCCCCCTAGCTGTAGTTGAAAGAATGGCAGCTGTTCTGTGTAGAATCACTTCTCCAGCTGTTCTCCTACCACGGGGAGAACCTAAGTTTTGTGAGTAAACCCTGCCACCTCTAAGTTTCAATATATGTTAGAGAAACAATACCTGATGCCTTCTAGCACAGTTTTGTTACAACAGAAGGTATTTCCTATGAAATCCATGCATGCAGAAATGTGTAATGCTTCCCTTCCAGGGCAGTGGGCAGCAGAGTGACTCCAGCCCTGGGGATAACGTGGTCCAACCAGCTGCTGCTGAGGCTGATGGCCCGGCGGCTGTGGCTGCCCCAGCACTCCCCTGCAGCAGCAGCAGCAGCACCCAGCCCTAGCAGCAGGAGGACTTTAAGTGTTGTTTTTGCTCCTCATCTCCCTCCATCCTTCTGCTACTACACAGTGCAGCTGGAAGGTGTAAAAGGAATAAAGTAACACTTTTGCATAGTAAAGGCTCCTGCTCCAAAAATGTACCAGGACTTTGCTTCAGGAAGAATTACTGGTGAAATGCAATTGTTCCTAGATGAGAGAAACTGATGGTGAGGTATGTGAAAATGGTATGGCTACATTTAGCCTTGTCTGCATTGTGCAGAATTATCTTTTTACTCTTGGATATTCAGCTTTTCCTTGTGAGATGAGTACCCTGGAGGTTCTGAAGGAAAGGGAAGCTGTGGTCAGGTGGAGGCTGCACAATGGAGTGGGATGTAGCAATCCCCAGGATGGGGGAGATCTGATATCTAATTTTATTTTAATAGCATGCTCATCTAGAAACAGCATTTACTGTTGTTTTGTACCCTGTTTCCAGACCCAACAGGACTTGAAATTCAACCAGGTTATGTTGCCTGCTGGTGGTTCTGGGTCTCATGCTGCCAATTAAGGATAGCCATTCTTTGTCACAAAGCAGCTGGCCTATTTTAAAACCATTTGTTATTAAGATTTTAAAGAAAATAATCCCATAAAGGTACTTTAACATCTTACTGTAAGAATTAAAATTGCACTGCCTTTGTACTAGATGAGTGTATCTAGCTTCATAGCACTCTTTAAAATTTTTAAATGGTTCATTTCTACTCTTTTCCTGCTTTCCAGTCCCTTCCCTTCATAGCAAAAGCCTCTTTAGTCTCTTTTATTTGAAGGACAGCAAACCACATCCCCCATCCCCTTGTTCTCTTTGCCTATTGCTGAAGCTCTGTAGCCTCAGGGCAAGCTCTGTGTGTTCTCCCTGATGCTCTGCCCTGCTCTGTGTTCTGCTAAATCAGCATTCTTCATGGGCTGCTGGATTGGTGCCTCTCATGTCCTGTGTCCCTGCTGTGGGCTCTCAGCTCAGCCGTGATCCTGAAGGGCACCTTCAGCTCTTTTCATCCAGTCAGATGCTATTGCTCTTCTGAGGTGATTCTTGTTTTTCAGTTAGAGCTTCACATGGGTTTTCTTCCTGTCTTTTTGCTATTTGTCACATTTTTCTGCTGTCCTCAGATCACTGCCATGCCATCCACTCTCCAATAGCTGAATTTTTCCTTTGCTCTGTTCCATGTGAAAGCAAGCCAGGCGGAGTTACACTGTCCAGAGGCCTCTTTTGGGTGCCTGCTCTCATCAGTGAGTGATGCTCTCTTGTATCACACACTCAGCAAGCTCTCACCTTTCCCCTGCTCCTGCTGCTGGCACAGGCAGGAACTCCATGTGTGTCTGTGGGGTGGCATTGCTCAGGTCCCTTCTGGCCAGGAACCCTGTGTTTGTGAGAAGCTGCCTCCTCCTTCAGGACATTCACCCTCTTTCCATGTGCAAGCATGCAGCAAAAGCTTTGTGTGGCTGTAAACTGCCTCAGCTGGAACTGTGGCAGATTTCTCAAGGCACAACTGAGTGTGACTCAAGGGAAAGAGACCCTGAGTGACTGCCTGGGGAGGTTCCAGAGGAGAACAGGCACAGCTTGAAGCTGAAGGAAGGAGATTGTAAACAAGCAGAAAGGATGAGTTGCTTTCAGTGCCTTCTGCAACCCCTTCAGATGTCTCAGGGGCCCTTGTGCAAATAGCACAAGTTGTGTCTAAATCATTTTTCTAAAATGTCTTAATTCTCTGTATTTGGAAATGACCTCACAGCTTCTTTTAATAAAATCCAACCATGAAGCTTAGAAACCTTTGTGTCCTCCAAGGAAAAGGGACAAGCAGGGCCACCTCCTCCCTACAACCCTCACCTTCTGTGCCTCCTCCCTACCAACTTCAATAAAGGTAACTAATGCAGCACAGGGGCCACTCCAGTTCTGTTCCTTCCTGTGCCCCTGGGCTGGAGCTGCAGCCAAGGCAGTGATCATCCCACTGTGGGACTGAGAAGAGCAGCCACACAGAGGTGCTGCTGATTCATGGAGGCACCAAACCCTACCTGGATATTCATTTACAGAAAAGCCTCATCAAATGGTGGGCTCCAATCCCAGGAGTTTGCCTTGCTGTGAGCCATGTCCAGAACAGTGTGAAACCCCCAAAGACACAGTCATATTTTGATATTTTGATCAAAATCTGAGTCAGTGATATTTTGATCACTTTTTTGCCACTTGCAAATGCTTGCTGGAACAGCCCAGAAGTGTTACAAGTCACAGATGCGTGTGCAATCAAAGTTCTGGTTTACCTGGTGAAAAACACTTCTACCAACAAACACAAGTAACATTTTGCCTGCTCAAATGTTGTGTCATTCCCCTGTTGGTTTGTTGGTTATTTCTCTCCAGCTGAGTGAGAGTACATGACAGTTTGTCTCCTGGCTCCTGAGCACACACAAACCCTGCAGTCTCAAATGCAGCTGAGGCTCACAGCCAACACTCAATCACTCCAGCTCCTGCCCCACCCCTCAGTCCTACCCCCAGCACAGCTTTGGGCTGCAAACCCTCACAGGACCCCAACACAGCACCTGTCCATTGGAGCCTTGTGTCAAAAGTGTTGAAATGTGCTTTAAAGTTTTAATAAATGCAAATTAAGAACCTTCCCTTTATAGAGCTTTATTCATCTTTGGGTTTCACAACTGAGATTTGTATTCTATACAAGGAAAAAAAAAACTGAAGCAGTTTTTACAAATAAGATTTACAGTCTAGAATGTATTAAGTCTTTATCCTGCAAGACTACTTAAATATTCTTCTACACTTCAAAAGAAATGTTAAATGACACTTGAGAAACTATGGTTCCCTAAATATTTCTCATTTACAAGCAGATGTAAAGGAAGTGCTGCAACTTCCCTGTGAGCACAAGCACCCTCCCAGCGTGGGCCTTTGCACCTCTACCAGACCCCCACACTCTGTTTGGCTTCTTGCTTTGTTCTTTCAGGTTTTTTAACAACTGACCTCAACTATTCAGTGTACTGGCACAATTGTGAATGGTTTTAGGGGAAAAAATAATCCAATGCAGATGTTTGAGATACTCCTCAATTCGATATATTTACACACACACAGCCCTGTGTACTTCTGTAAATCCATGACAATGGAACTAAACTTGTCAGCATCACATCTGTTACCATTTATTCTCTCAGTACAGACTAACAGGACCAAAAATGCCACTCCTGGCAGCCTTCAGACACAACGTGTGACCTACATAACAAAAACCAACCATCAGCAACTACTGTGAACACAACTGTCAGTGCAGCACTGCACACACCTTTTATTAGATATTTACAACACAATCATACCATCTGCTAAATCTCTGGATTCAAATTATACAATTTAGGTATAAATACTTCTCAAGCTCAAAGCCATTTTAATTTACTAATAAGGAGTGTTTGGGGGATGAAGGTGTCATTTACTGGAAGCACAAACTGTAGATAACTGACTCTTTTTGCATTGTGTAAGTGCAGGCACACCACAGCAACAGGTCAGTTACTCCTCCAGAAGAGGAGCCAATCATGAAACAATTACATTTTACAAGACTATTCAGTAAGATCTAAACTCAAGACTGAATTTTGCCAATATAGCACACAGCCAGAGACAGAAGGGCAACAGGCACCTTTCCATCAGGAACAATTCCATGGACAATCCATCCCCATCCTGCTGTACACCAGGCTCACCACTGATGTAGGAGAATCTGAGGCCCAATGTGGAGTCCTCACCACCTTTTTATTCAAGTTCCCCCTTAAAATTTTAGTCAAGGACAAAAATGCCAGATTAAAACCACAGCTGCACCATTGCAGTTTTCCTAACAAGGTCTCTGTCAATTCTGAAGGTCTTCTCTGGTTTTCCATTTCATCAGAGCTGCTGATTTAATTTGGTGCTGAAGACATCCCAGAATGATACAACTGGATATTCTGGATATATTCTTTATGCAGACTCTTAGCTATAACTACAACCTTACAAAACGAAATCCAGAAAGAAAATCTTGCATAAAAGTGAACTGAGAAACCTGTCTGAAATATAAATGTACATAAACCTCTACATGTCCTGACAGTAACTCATCCATGCTTCAAACACAGGGAATGTTGACTTTGATTTGGTTTGTGTTTTTTAAAAGTTCTCAAACTGCTAACAGCTCACTGGCTCCTAACAGTAAGGACTTGGTTACTATTCTCAGGGATTATGGATTAAAGAACTCTTGAAATTTGTTTCTTCTCAGAAAAAAAATGAACCTCTTAAATATAAAAGTTCTTTAATATGCATTAGCTCAACAACTTAACCTTCCATCACACTTTAAAATACTACATAAAGGATTAGAACATTTAGAAGCACAGTATTAGTAATGCCACCACCAGCAAGATCTTGACCAGGAAATTTCCCTCACCATCACCCTCTACAAACCACAGCCTTGCACTTTCAAACTCACTGTACATTGTCATTTGGCATGGTTACATAACTTACTGCTTATTTACACAGGGCTGGGGGTTTGAGAAGTTGCAAAGAATTCTGTTTCAAAGCTGAACGTGGGAATCACATCCTTCAGTTTAAGTAATTCCTTACTACCAAAACATTTTGTGTCTGAATAGTTCTGTGGGGTATTTTTGGAGACTCCAGAGGGGTGGGGGCTGCACAAGGGCCCCCCTGGCCTGGCAGCCTGACCTGGATCTTTGAGCAAAGCCAGCCCAGTCTGCCTCTGTGCAGGGAGCCCAGTCAGCCAGCAGGGGCATAGAGCACGTTTTACTTTAGGGGGGAAAAAGAAGTATATATATTACATATTTTTTTAATATAAAAAGCTCTTAATAAAAAGATTAAAACTCAAGAGTCAACATTATATGAGTATCTATTGTTAAGATAAACGAGCAACAACCTGTTCCTGCTCAGGTTCATTAAGGAATTGCACTATGTGCTAAAACTTCTACCAAATGATTAGCAGCATTGTCTCTCAGCATTCCTACACTGTCTCCAAAGCAGGAGCACCATGCACGGCTCCCTCTGCAGAGCTGCTCACACGGTACCTCCTGGTAAACATCGCTAAGTGCATTACACAGACAGCTTCAGTTACTGTAACCAACCTAGAACCAGGTGCAAACCCAGTCAGAAACTCCTACTAATTACTAATTCTAATTACTTTTCACAGCCTGTTCAAATACTAAAACTTTCCTATGTTCTTGTATTTTACCTTCTTCAGTTGGTGCTGACTTTGAATGAATTTTCCAGCTTTTCCCAAAGTTAATTTTGTTCGACATTTTCCAACTCACAACTATGACCACAAATACATTTTTACACACACTGCTTATTTTTTTTTTACTTTCTTATCCAACTTCACACAAATAGGAATTTTTACAAAAGATGAACAAAATGACAAGCTTTACAGAAAAGCAAAAGGAAATCCTAATGTCTATAAAATCCTTAAAACATACATACATACTTTGTTCCAGCAGCAGTCCTGTATACAGACAGCACATATATATTAACCTGTAACATGGATATGTGGTCACACAGGTCACTTCCAGCCGCTGAGTGCTTCCACGAGGGCCTCAGCAGGGAGTGTCCTTGCAGAGCAGCCACTCCAGTGTGACATCCTGGCGTGCAGTGCCTGCTTCTGCTGTCACCAGCTGGTGTGGGAAAAGGCAGGATTTGGGATCAGCATAAGGAAATGTTGGGCACTTTCAGCAAACACAGAATGGGATTGTGAATTCCAGTGGACAAGCGAGAAAGTCAACCTGAGGCTCGGTGCTCCCCTGAAAGCAGCAGCAGCTGCTCTGGGACAGTTGCAGTCCAAAACTTGAGTATTCTTCAATCACACAAAGTAAAGGATTTTTCCATTTCTCCTGATGTACACAAACCATCCTATATCCATTGACTATTGTGCCCTAAGACTTACAATATCAGAAGTTATGGTCACAGGTGTTGCTGTTTATTCTATCTAAATGTAACTCACCCCCAGCCATCACTTCTGTCAGATTTAATAGCTCAGTCTAGTGGTTAAGTCAGTCATGTCTAAGTGCTGTTTGCTAGCCAAGGCTTCTACCATTACAAGAATCAGCAGTGCAAGGGCAAACTCCACCACTACAGAATGCTGAACTGGAATTTCTACAGTAATGCACATAAATTTATCCATTTCTCATTCCAGCACTGCATGGATTTACTGCCACACAGTTTGCTTATATTTTCCAACACCACTGCATTTTGGTACACATTAAATGTGTTTGTTTTCTTACTCTTTT